TTTTTTATCAAAGCACAAACCGTTTTCTTGACAACAGTTGCCACTAATGAAGCAGGTTAACACTTAATGTACTTATGTGAAGTTCTATATTAGTCGGATAGAAATAATGTTGATGTTACAAATTGTAAAAAATTATGTATGCATGATAACTTTATCATGAGTATGTTTTAGGTTTTTTCTCTACCTTGATCCATGGATGGTAAAATTTTAGCTACGTTCAATTTGACGAGAGAAAAAAGGAAAAAAAAAAGACAAAGTCTACATATTGTAACCTCGTGCAATCGGAATAATGAATATTGCTGTAAATATTCTTTAATTGATTACATTTTCCTAATTATATATGGCAGAATATTTTATAATCTGTAATCTATGATCAAAGAACGAAATTAAAGAAATGACTTACAATTAAAGGTTACTTGTAACTTTTACCAATAAGGCTTCAAAAACAAACAGATCATATTGGAACGTGCTTACATATATGCATGTCGGCCTTGCTATCGAAACAAGCAGAGCAGTTGGATTATCCGTGCAAATATATACTTCTAAATTATATAGAAGGAAAGGCAACGTGCAGTTTCATTTGTTTAAGAAAATGGTTTGCTAGGTTCAGTGTTTTCATTTCATTGTTTTTAGAGTAAAATATATCGAAAATTGTGAAGTCAGTAAAAAACATAATGGTACAGTAGAAAACATATCTGTTAACAATAATTATAGTCGTTGTTGTTTTGTTGTAGGTTGATTAACGTCCAGTGGCAAATATCTCATGCATTTTCAGGAGGATTAAAGTCGTTGTTATAGATGCAAATGTAACTGTGAATAATTCGGCAGTATCAGAAGCAAAAGATTATATGGAAAATTTGTCATCTTCAAAAGCATATCACGTAATTGATCGTCGGGTGTCTTTGCAGTTACCCTAAATTTGTGGATCAGCCACACTGCTTGTCATTAAACAGCCTGTCTGCGAAGAGATTTTATTTCCCCATCAACAATAATTCTTGCAGCATTGGCGTTTTCAGACACAATTAGCGCCATTTGTCTATATCTGCCAAACCATTTCGGATTTTTATCTCAGCCGTTGGAAAATCGAGATGATTTGTCAGTCAGGATTGTTTCCAGATAACCGTTTTAATTGTTTATTCGTTTTCTGGTTGGATATTGTTCTTACTTCCGCATTTCATGCTATATCATTGAATCTTACAACATTTCTTGTCCTACAGAATACAGTTGGTATAGCATTTGGTATAGATATTTTAATTACCGAACGTGACTTATTCCCGATTGTGACTGTTTTGTTGAGTGTGAAACCGCATTGCTATAAGACGTGTCACGGTACCTTTCTATCCCAAATTCATGTATTTAATTTTGATGTTATATTTGTTGTTCTCGTCGGATTTTGTCAAATGTCTTAACGTATTTTCTGTTATATTCGTGTGTTATGGTATAGATAATTAATCACTCCCTTCATTTATTAGATTTTAGTTTGGTTCAACGAAATTTATACGATATATTTAGTTTACGGTTTGATTCGGAGGAAACACCGACATAGCTGGATGATACAATTAGTTATCTAATTACTACAACAATTTGATATCAATAATTGCCATAAAAGCGGGAGGTTTGGCATGCCACAAAACCAGGTTCAATCCACCATTTTTTTTCTTAAAATGTCCTGTACCAAGTCAGGAAAATGGCCATTGTTATATTATAGTTCGTTTCTGTGTGTGTTACATTTTAATGTTGTGTTTTTGTTGTGTCGTTGTTCTCCTCTTATATTTGATGCGTTTCCCTCAGATTTAATTTGTAAGCCGGATTTGTTTTTATCTCTATCGATTTATGAGTTTCGAACAGCGGTATACTACTGTTGCCTTTATTTATTACATATCATAAGCAGGAGATTTGCTTCAAGAACGACTACAACAATCAGGGTCCTCTTTACTGTTATTACATTGTTGATGAAGTGTCCCCCTTTTTTTTTTTTTTTTATCTATGTGTCATTTCTAAGAGAAAGCAGACTTCTTTGAAAATAGTTTTGAAAAGTGGGTCTTCCAGGATTTTTTCTAAATCTGTTTTCATTCTAGGGTCCATAATTTATATCTCTACCACTGTTTTGCGGGTGTCACTAATTAGCGACAAGAGGGCGAATTGGGCAACAAGAAATAGAGAAATACTAACAATAACAAAATTTGAAACTTTATAAAATAAAAAAGAAAATAATCAACTGTAATTAATTGATTTTTCTACAAATTAATTGTTCTGATAGTATATAAACTGCCTTGTCGGTAAATTTGTCAATTTGTCGCTAATTTTTTTTTTTTTTTTTTTTTTTTTTTTTTTTTTTAGCTTTTTGTCACTTATTTTTTCTTCTTTTCGTTTCTTGTTGCTAATTAGTGAGACCGCTGTTTTTGCTAACAAAATGTTCCATTTACATAAGCGCAAAACTAACTTCTTGTAGCACACCTATCCAACGAACAGAAACGGTCTGCAGTAATGGTCGTCCTAAATGTAATTACTTTTATCGTATCAGAATTTTTATCAATTATCTGTGAATGTTTCAATTCAATATAACTAAGTCTCATTTTCTATGTAACAATTTATTTTCCCGATTTCAGTGATTTATCGCTAGTTGCGGTTTTGCAGCGAACTATTTTGTTTGTCTGTAAGTAGGCAAACAACTTGATCCAACAAAAAGAGAAATACAAAAAATACCGAACTCCAATGAAAGTTCTAATCGGAAAGTCCCTTATCAAATCGCAATATCAAAAGCGCAAACACATTAAACATTGTTAAACGAATTGAAAAAAACAACTGACTTGGTACAGGCATTTCCTTATGTAGAAAATGGTGGATAAAACCTGGTTTTATAGCTAACTAAACCTCCCTCTTGTATAACAGTCGTATAAAAATCCATTAAATTGACAACAATGTGTGAACAAAACAAACAAGATATTTGCAGTGGTGCTTTACCTTTAGCAATAAGTAATATATACTTGATGGAAGGTCTTTCGAGCATATCATTTGTAATGGGGGATATATATTTAAGTATTGAACTACCAAACAAACTGTCATTCTGTAAGATCAATATATGATAAAGATAGCTTAAAAGTTTGATGAAAATCCAAGTTGATTTGAAAAAAAACTATGAAAAAAAATTAAAGATAACTATCTGAATTTAGTCTGAACTGGAAATTCTAGCTTTTTTTTACTTAGACTAATTAAATCCTTAAATTTGACAGCAATACACCGAACTTCATAACAACCTGGGATTCAGTAAGATCAATATATAACTAAGATAGCTGTACAGTTTTATGAAAATTCAAGTTAATTTGAAAAAGTAATAAACAAATTTGAAGGTGACAATCTGAAAAGTCTAGCTTTTTTTAGCCATCAATTAAATCCTTAAATTTGAAAGCAATAAACCAAACTACCAAACAACCTGGCATTCTGTAAAATCAATGTATAATTGAGATAGCTGTAGAGTTTTATGAAAATCCAAGTTGATTTAAAAAAGTTATAGAAATAATTAAAGATGACTATCTGAATTTAATCAAAACTGAAAATTCTTGCTTTTTTACCTATCAACTAAATCCTTTAATTTCACAGCAATGAACCAAACTACCAAATAACCTGGAATTTTGTAAGATCAATATATGATTGAGTTAGATGGGCTGATTCAGACCAGTCAAGACTAAATTTGAAGGTCAGGACTCAGTCTACACAGGTCGAGACTGACCGAGTCTTTGACAAGACCATTTAAGACTACACCAAGATTATCAAGTACTGAATCAGACTTATTAAGTAAAGTCGAGACCAAAGTCGATTACAGTTAAGTACAGTTAAGTACTGTCGAGATAATGTCGAGTCTAGTCAAGTAAAATCTGGGCTCGACCTTACTGGGCGAGCACAAAATCTGGTCTTTTCAGACTCTCAGAAGTTTGTAGTGTTTTGTTCACATAAAAATTGGCGTCTCGGGGAAAACAATTGTGCCCGAATTAATGGTTGAAACACATGGAAATTTCACTCACATGAACTTCACGTGAATTTTGAGTTGTTCAGAAAACATTTCAATTTTCAAATTTATCATTTTTTTTTCAAAGTTCACGTGAAATTCAGGTGAAAAATTTCATGTGAGATTCATTTCATGTGAATCTCAATTCACGTGAAATTCACATGAAAATGTTCATGTGAGTTTCATGTTTAAGCTCGTTTGAGGTGAAGTTCACGTGAGCTTGATTTCCCAATTTCATCATCAATATGTAACTTTTTAGTAACGGGCGGTCCCCTCGCTATGTGCGAGAGAAAATTTAAGTTTATAAATATCCTTTAGATAAGCAGTTTGCAAAAGTTTGAAATATACAATCAAAAGTTAATGCATTAACCGGTATGATTTTTTTTTAAGTTGGTATGATACACACACAATTGGTTTGCTTGTCTTCATCCTTAATGTCAACTACCAAACTCATCAATAAAACAACAAATGTATTGTTATTTTCTGTTTCAAAGTTTAGGAACTCAATTTTCAATAAAACAATTATCGTCTTCATATATTCAGCGACAAAGCCAGAATGGTTGATAACATACAAGAAAATAAAAAGAAAAAAACCATCAATAATTATGAATAAATAATATGCAAGATGTGGCGAATATTATATGAAGATGTTAGAACAAAAAAATCAACTTGCACATTTTGTTTACTAGTAACTGATATTGATTAAAGCACATATTGTCATCTATTCATCTATCAGATATTCATTCATTACGCATTTAATTCCTCATTCATTTATGTATTCGTTCATTTTTCATTTACATAATAGCGAAACCAAATGTACGATTTGTGTGTATTAACCCTGTTCAGGTATATTTACATGCGAGGTTGCGAACAAAAACATACATTTTAAAGTCTGTATTTGTTTCCCTGTGGTGTTTGATTTCAAATCTTGTTTGAATTTACCTTTAACTTATAATATTTTCTTTTCTTTTTAAGGTCAACACACATACAACAATTTATACTAAACAAGTTTCACCTTTGTGTGCTCTATAGAAACCTAACAATTATTAAAATAAAGAATATATACGGATTAGTATGTTTCATAACTGCTTTGTATACATACATCCAGTTTAATCCTACAATTGCACATTTTGTTGCATACTGGAAACATAGGCGGACGGTATACATTATATATTGAAGGTAAGTTAAATGTTAACTAACAAACATGTATACGACAATTAACAAAATATATGTGCATTTTACAAATACACACAATTCTTTTTGTTTACTACACATCTATGACATGTCATCATCTTCAAATTAACGTTATTACTCAACCTTAGGTTCAAATGTCAGCTACCAAACTGTTCAATAAAACAACAAATGTTTTTTTATTTTCTGTTTCAGATTTTTGGTAACGCAAGTACCTTTATCTAGTATTAATGTTTATTTTTTTTCAATAACACAATCTTTTTCTTACAATTTTTGGGATGTATTAGCATGATCAACAAGATCCGAATAGTTGATAAAAGGCAGACAACAAAATGATCGGATGAGAAAAAAAAATCAATAATTTATAGACTCAATATGCAAGATGTGGTGAATATTATATGAAAATATCAGAACATAAATCATTTATCATAATCTTCATATTGTACATTTGTTGTAGTGGAATATTTTCATCTATAAATATATCAGCCAATCATTCATTTCGCCTTTTAATCTTCCTTAACATTAACATGATTAATATCGCAATCAAATGGATGATTTTCGATATTGTTCCCGTACAGGAATATTGATATGTAACTTATTTCTTGTATATAAATGTGGAAAACGAACTAAATAAACTGCGAATAACGTATAGACTTGTTTTGACAAGATAAATACTTAACGTGTTAAATATATTTCAATATAATACAGAAAACATGGCAAATAATGACAAACGTTTCGATCAACCCTGACTTTTAAATAGTCTATTATCATTGTGTATACGAAGAATTGAGGATGTATGATATCTTTCCCGTTTTTGCATGTTCTTTTGTCTGGTCAGGTCAGTTCGGGCCACGCTAAAGATATTTTTTTAAACAATTACTCGATCGAATCCATCAAAAAATACTAATTATCTGTTCAATATAAAACTTAAGATTTAAGGTGAAATTTTGTGAGTTCAGTGCGTAGTGACTATAAATAAAATAATGAATGTATGCAATTAAACATAGGACTTATCATCAATTTGTTTTCATTGCTTAAAACTGTTTGCAGAAGTTCAAACACACATGTACTTTACTAATTAATGAGTAATTATTTTGAATATAAGACAAATTGGTAAAGAAATTACAAAAATAGCCATTTCACTCCTAAAGTGTAGGTAATTTTTTCTTATTCGATGGTTTATTTAGTATTTTTATTGTTAAGTCGTTCAATTTTACTATTCACAGACAATTTAAGTCATAAACTCTTTTTTTGGTTGCAACATAAAAGATTAACATGAATCACTTAAATACGTGAACTATGATGCAGATGCGTTTTTGTTTTAATGAATCAATTGATATAGTTTTATCAAGTATAAGAATAAACACATATAAGATATTAGAACTGGAAGAGAAATATCTCCATCGGTTTTCACGAATTTCAAAATCTGTTATCCATGTTTTTAGTTTTTATTAAACATAATATATGATTTTGAAAAAAATAAATAATCATAGACAATTTAATTTTCTTAACAGAACAGGCAATCTGCACATGGTTTGAGTCATTTTGAGAAGAGTTCCGTATGAATTGGATAAACTCGACCTACTACATCGTGCTTTGAATGCAATTTGTATATTGTAAATTACCATTCTCTGGGAAATATCTTTGTCTTTATTATTGATGTAATTCTCAGAAAAGTTAAATGAACTATGATTATACAACTATTAACTAGAACAAAATGTACTCGATGTACTGTTATGGTTGAATAAGGATATTAAAGACAAATTTTAATTTTAGAAAAAATGGCCGAATCCAATTACGATGGAGTAGAAGTTAGAATTAAAAACTGCAGCCGAGACAGAGACAACTACGATAGATTGTTGTCAGTCTTTCACACTGGAACAGAGGTTAAGCGATGTCTACTTGAACATTTCCTCCGAGGGAAAAAAATCAATTTGTTTGATTGGTTAACTAATTTGGATGAGAATTTTCTCCAGTTTGAAGATGTACAACGTGCTGTCAGAAGATCGGCTGTCATTCAAGTGACGGATTTGGAATCGAGTACTATTAACACACTTCTAAAGAATAACTGTTTCCTAATGTTCTGGAATATTTGTTTGCAAAATAATAAACTTGAAGATATTTTAAATAGTCATAAAGCAGTTCTATCTTCAATTTACGAAAATGCCGGAATCAATCAAACATTCTCTTCATTGTCTACAGAGTATTATAAGCCAAGGTTAACGACAACACAGTGGAAACTACTCTTTAAGACAGACGACCAGTCAGAAATCAACAGAGAAAGAAATTGTCACTCTATTTCTGCGTCCAAAGATATCACATTATCTAGTTTAGACAATGAGCTGAATTTTGTATTGCTATACACAATTTGTCCATTGTTTAAATCAGTCGATGTCGTCTCAGAATGCCAGATTCAAATAACAAAAATCGCAGTCTTTAAATCCGAATTACAAAAGCCTGCATTTGACGAAATATGGGACAAAATAAAAGCGCACATACAGATGATAGGCGGTCAATGTAATCTTTCTGAATACTTCAAGCATAAATGTGACACAATACAGCAAACTATATTTAACAGAACCGTATCACAGGAAAGCCGGAAATGTATTTTAGAGGACGCTTTTAAAATTCCAGATTTCATTAAGGTAATTTTCTGTATAGATAATCATAAGAATAATAATTTTAACGAATATATTAGTACTTTGACGGCAATACAAAAATCTTGAACGTTGTTCTAAAACAAATGAAAATTTCATTGCTAAATTCATGAAGCGTAGACTGAATATTGTCCATGTCTGATTAATTTGGTCATTGAATGTATTGAAATATCAGTAGCTTTCTAGTGTTACATACTTTTATAACGCGTTTTTATTTTACAACTGATGTGGAAGGTCAAGTTTACAAAGCATGTATGACACAAACTACTTATAAATATGCAAAACAAAAATTCGAACAGACCTGAGCATAGACACCATGTAGCACTTGAAAATTTATGTTTAATTTCAATGAATACATGTATTGTAAAAGTGATTATTTTTCTATATTACAGGATAATACTTTTTGTTATTGCGTACGGACGGAACTTGACAATATGATCTATGAAGACAATCTTAATTTATCAAGGACCCTGTGTGGTATCTATATATATTAATAATTCCATATGAGTTATTGGATCTAATTGTATTGTAGTTTTTTCCTATAAATTGGAGGTAACCTGATGCCTAAGAGGAGTTTTTAGTTTTACTTTTTACAATCAATCAAAGTAAACACTATTATATCATGATACTCGCTCTGTTGTCATTTAGTTATTCAAGACATAAAAAAACTTAAAAGAATGTGATTAAGTAGAATTTTTCATTTTTGTATACTTTATTTATTATTTTTAACACACTTATCTGTGTTTTTCCACATTTTCATCGAAATTAAACTTATTATCGAGAAACTGATGAACTGATGTGTTTCGTGGTGTCAGTTTATTATCGACTTTTGCGTTTGAATGGCTATTTAGTATCTTTCGCCTTTTTTCTTTAATTTCTAGCACTTTTGTTTTTTCCAAGAGAGAATCCACCTTTCAATAGTGCTTGATTTATGAGCATTGCTAATAAGTTCTTATACTTATGACTTTCTTGACGTTTCTGAGTGTGATAAATTTCTCATATGATGTCTCATCTGATGTACCCTTTAATTTAGTAGTTGTTGTTGTTTAATGTCTGTTATTATTTGTTCGAAAATTGTATTGTATAAAGAAAGGAGAAAAACAACAGTAGAAAAATTCCAATATGAATTATACATTCGATAAATGTGACGTTCGTTTTCTCTTTGGAATGATTCATAATTTTCCTATCGGGACCAGCAAATAAACTGGAGCCCGATATTTTCAGCGAAATATTTTTTTTGAGTTTTTGACGAAAGCGAAACACAAAAATCTTTTCATTTACAATTGTGGTTGTTCACGCTAAATCATAGCTTTCAAGTTGACCTCAAATAAAAGATAGGAGCCATACATGCACCCTAATTAAAGGTAAACTTGACGACGTGTGAAACACTTTAAACTTTTGATCTACAATTTTGGTCAGACAATGTTCACACTAAATTATGGCTTTCAAGTTGACCTCGAAAAAAATATAAGAGCTAACATATATCTTCTATAAAGGTGAACCGTGCTTATTTCCTGCTACAATTACGTAAATGCTTCTTATTGATTATGAAAAAAGAAAACGACGTTTAATAATTGTTTGTGTTGTATTCTGTTTTTTTTTATGTTATCCATATTCTGTATGACTTAAAATTGCTAAACACGTATAGGGTGTATTGCTCAAATTGATTACTTGCTGGACCACTCAACCAATTGAGATTTAATAATTTAGTCAATAGATACAATTATGATTAACAAGAAATCAAATATAAACATCCGCAAATATGAAAACAAATGTGTACTGTTAAACTTGAACACCAGAAAACGGAACAATGAAATGATGACGATGATTTTTACCATAAAAAAACTTTTGCATAAGCTACGTAAAACGAACTTAAAACCTATATAAAAACATCTTCGGGCACAAAATAGTTGAGATATGTCCATCTATGCATACAAAATTTTCAAGGTTTTTGGTAACAATAGTCCTCTTGCAGTTTATGATCCTTATGTGTCTTTAAATACCAATGTTATATTGATATTATAAAAGTTTAATGGATTGTTGCAGGTAGGGAAATACCAATTGTACTAGTGAAAGCAAAATACACAAAAGGTGCATATGCACTCGGCGTACTAGAGCAAGCAGGTATATTAACATAGACGATATAAAAAGGGGAATTATTTGATTTTTACGGAAATAAGTTACATCAAAATTATTAGGATTCAGGAAATTAGATATGAATTCTAAGTTCCTGTAATATTAATGGGGGAAATGAATGGAACCTAATTTTATAAAAGCTTTTAGTTATTTTTGAAAAGATGTTTTATTGTTTGAATTCTTGATATGTATCAATACATAGAAAATCAATTGGTATATTTTCAAAATAACTCTATTAATTACGTTGGGACGCTCTTCAAATAACACAAATACCGCGTTAATAACACGTTAAACGTGATAAATCGCATTTGTTAAGACAAAGAAAAACACCAAAAACACTTTTATAGGACGTTGTTATATTATACGTTAACATGAACACTTTGAATTTTAGATAAAGACAAGGATATTCGCGCATCTTTTTTCAGTAACCAGGTAATACAAAAATTAATATAACTCACTACTGTGAGTTATCATTTTAAAACCTAACGATATGATATGGGAAGCGCAAAAAATGAATACAATGTATGGAAAATTTGATTAGAACATTTATCAAATCTTATCACTAGTAAAACATGTTTTGATCTGATACGGTTATTTGATATGAACAACTTTTAAAAGACTGAACAGTAAATCATTTGGTAATCAACTGTTAGTAATTAAATACATTTCAGTCGTTTTTGGTAACCTGTACACATCAGTGTCATACTGAATAGTCTAAAAATTGCTGAACAGAACTAATTAGTTTTGCCACTGACTTCAATTTAAATTCACACTTATAGTTACTTTCAATTGTTAAATAAATTCATCGGCGTTTTTTTTTTGGGGGGGGGGGGGGGGGGGGGGGGACAAAAATATGTTTGTAAAGAGGAAAAGATCAAATGACATAACGGTTGTTTCAATGCATTACCAAATGTAGAAAATGTAATTTAATGTTAAAACATGTAGTTAAATGAATCAAAACCAAAAAGAATAGTTTATCAGGAGTTAATACAACCCTGTACATATACATATATACTTTGTTGAAATTGTTAAAATATACTTTTTCACTTTTTTGGTCTTTTGGTAAATTTTGTTTGTGCTGTATTTAGATCCCTCTACCAAGACATTTGTTTTGCATGCACACGTATAAAAAATGCGGTTTTTATCCATCGCAATCATAGGTTTGAACATTGTTTTCAATTTAGACTTGTCTATATATATAATATAATATACATTTGATAATTGCGATGGATAAAAACCGCAATTTATATATATTTATATATTTATCAACATTTATCAAATCAAGCTCTGTTGTAGTCTGTTGAAACTGGTATACAATTCAACGCTTATCTGTACTTCCAACAATAAAAATAATCTGTATATGATGAGATTCGGTTCCTACCGTGAATTCAAAGGCAACTATATATGTTTCCCTAATAAAAAAAAAACCTCAAACTGCTTTATTCATACAACAAATTCTTTGAATACGGCAGCTGAATGAATTTATTATTGTTCATATTGTTTGAGCATGCAAGGGAATTTGTGTATGAGGCAAATATTATGTGGGGTACTTATAGCCATTGTTATGCACAAACACATGTGCTGCGTCGGATAGAAATATCTTTTATGCAAGTGCAGGTATATAATCAGTATACGTTTTTGCTTAGGGGTCAGCTAAGTCCATCTCTGGGTGCGAGATTTTCTCGCTATGTTGAAACCCATTAGTGGCTAGAGCAGTTTTCTGTTCTTCGGTTGTGTTGTTGTCTTTTTGACATTTCCCCCGTGTCCATTCTCAATTTTAAGTATACATGTATTATACATTTGCACATAATAGTTTTATTAAAAAGACTATCACATTATATAATTTTCTGCTAAACAGTGCCATCTGTCTGTTACTTATTAACAAAAACGCTCGAGATCACGTAATCAATTTGTTTTATTTTACAAATAACTATTCTACCAATAACGTTTAAATCAAACTTTGATATTTGAATAAACGTTGTAATCTCAAGTAGTATAATATTTCATGTTATACATTAGATGTTTGGTCACAATTTAACGTGAATACGTAAAAATTAAGTTAAACGTTCTATTGTTAAACAATTCTCGTCAGCAAACTGAAAGAAGAACCGCTGAGTTGACCTACTATAAATTGTCCCTCTGGTATCTTTCGTCCCTCTTTTAAAGTATTTGAGAAAAAAAATTTATTGGATTAAAATTAATATAAGTGGGATTTTTTCCTTTTCTTAGGTGTTTGCTGCGGACCAAAATGATATTGAAGATACGCTACAAATGGATGGTATTTATTGAGAAACGAACGTCACGCAGTCAAAAAATGCAAAACTATTATTAGTATACAAAGCATTATATATATATATATATATATTAAGCAATACATTAACTTTTTCATATAGGCCCGGGTATCTTTCAGAGACGTCTCCGGCAGATATAGGCTCGGGAAGATACCATTGGTGATATGGCAAAGGACATGTATTAATCTTTTTATATTATAAAACTGATGTATGAACGCATCCAGGCTGATAATCCAAATTAGTTCGAACACGTGACATCTTATGTTTTATCAGCCTCGATGTGCATAAATGGCTTGTTTTCTTCCGCTCATTACACATGTAACAAAAACTCACATATTCAGGAAAGGTATATGATAAATTAGGATTGTATTCCAGTAATCTTAAACAACAACAGCTGTACGCTCGGCCCATGCGTTATGATTTTCATCATTTTGCGCATCGAATCAACAAACATGGTTACGATCATTGAAATATGAGGACATAATTCCTTAAAGTAGTCGTAATTATAACTTCCGAAGCATTGATTTTTTTAGCGGATAAGTGTCGTCCTCATATATAAATGCAAATGCATGCGCAGACAATTTCCTTTCTTATCCGTTTCTGCACTTTACATTCGGCGCAGGAATATGTTTTTGAAGCAACTATTCTATAGAGAACAAAGCGCACGTTTGAGAAAATAGGAAAGACGGATATCAGTTATCATAATGTATCATTTTTTTTTTTTTGCTCCGAAAAGACTTTATGCAATTGACATTTATGTTTACGTCTTAATACTAGTACTTGAGTTTGAAGAGAGACAAATAAGGATTGCAGATTATGACATTTAGAAGGTTAAGATAACTTGACAAGAAAGAGTAACTCGCCAATCAAATCTCTGGAAATATAACAACATGAAGAATGCAAAAAGAGTTTAAAAAGTTCCTTTTAGAAGAACAAAAGCATATTCATTTTGCATGTTTTGAACATATATTGTTCAACTAATAAACAAGTTAAAAATATTCCGTGCATGAAATACATATATTCAAGGAAAGTTGAATTAAAAACAAACATTTTGTTGAGACTGATAAGGATTACATACATTTTGTTCAGATGGTAATGACTGTCATACACACTTTCCATGAAAGTTAGAATCTGTAATTTGATTGTATTTAATCATTATCATCCTTACAGCTGAAAGTTGTATCCACGGTTGTAGGGAATGTATCAAAAATACTGTCCATGTTGAAAAATAAATTTCGCTTAGAGATTGGTACTACTATAATTAACACATATAACACGGATTGCATATTGAGAAGGCTAATCAGAGGTAACTTTCCAGACTATACATATTTACGCAACCCACCTAGCCATATCTTACCTATGGTTGTGAATCCAACAGGTCATATCTCGTTTATTTTCATTTTATGTTCAATTTATTTCATCTGTGTTCTTGGTAAATAAAATATTAACTCAAATCTTAGGTCTTTAAAAAAAGTTTAAGTTTATCACGGATCTCCGGAACACAACACATACAAACCAAAACGCAAGCAAGCATAACATTCGTTTTATTAAAATGAGGGTATGATTCTGACGGAACTCCGCCCTGCATAAATACTACTCAGTTACATCTACTTGTAGGTTACGGCATTTTAAAGAGAATTGTGTGATCGAAAGTTATTATAATATTATTTTAAAAATGTTAAAGTCTAACAATTGAACAAAAAGAAAAAGAAAACAAAGTGGTGTACTTTTCAAAGTTCATGTGCAATAAAGTCATCAAATCTTGGTATTATGTATGCATAAAGGAAATCCGCTAATTTTGTGTCTTTAATGATGTACTTAGGTGAAATTTAAAAAATATAGAATTTCAAATTGATACTATAAGTCGGAAGAGCATTATTTAAGGAACAGAAAAGGCTAAAAATGCTGATAGGTTAAGGAGCTCCTGTCGAGATGTATGATTTTTTTTAAATGACGGAAAAAGACTGACTTGGACTTTGATCTTATACATTTTATATTTGTATTGGTATTATTTTGGTCTTAAATCGAATGAAAATATTTCTAGAATCTGCTAAAAATTTGATAAACGACCTTTTATGAGCTATTGAAGTCTTATATGTAAAGAAAATTGGGTGTTATGGGGCAAAATATTTTACTCTGTATTGGAGGGAAAAATCCAAAGAAGTCCGAACATCTGACAAAAATTCCTAAACCTTAAATGTAAATAATAACACCCGTAAAATCAAAATTTAAGTTATGGTTTCCTATTCAATTGTAAAATAGTTATAGAAAATCGTCATATTTAAAGAACACGATTGATAGCTGATTACCATGCTCTGGTGATTTTGCGATAATGAATTGAAATTTGAATTCACTTTTGTCCGAAATTGACTTCCAAAGCTATAATTGTGTAAATGAATAACAAAACTCTCTCATAATTTAACCTACACGAAAGTGTAATATTATTTAACTGAAATAATTGCTACAAATTGAAAGGCTAGCAACGACATTAGGACTAGTATTTAGCAAAAGGTAGGTGTTTATAAATATAAATAAGTTTTATACAAAACGTGTACAAGTAATAAAAATACCTGACTTTCTTTCGAGTACGGTTTCAATATTTACAATACATATGTTAAAACAGTAGAAGTGTGGCCCAAAAAATCCCTGTCCGGCTTGAAATAAGAAAATTCAAAATTTACAATGGAATACTTCTCAAATGTAATGCAGTTACATTACTTCAGGTCCTTTATTTTGTTATGTTTTAACACACATGATGTGTACCGGCAATGTTAAAATTGTTACTTGTTTTCCCAACATAAATGTAATATTATACATGTATTTTAAAAAAGCATAACTTTCCCTTGCTTTTCATCATTGATCCATGACATTTTATCTTCTTGGAGGAACAGTAGAACCCAATCATATTTACAATATCGGAATCCTACTCGTTCTGTGGCAAAAGACGATTTATACTAGTCTATCTCTGTCATTGCGTAGAAGTTCTAAAATTGTAAGTGTATAATGCGGATAGGGTGATTTCCCGTAGCATTTCGGGAAGTCACTTTAAAACTGACAGACTGACCGTGTTTCGTAATATATAGATGAATTGTGTACTTGTTGCCTTAGACTCCGTTTACTAGATTTCAAAATCAAATCCGGGCGGCGAGTATGTTGCCATTACAAAAAGGTTATTTTTCCAAATACCCAACTCACCTTATATTTCTTGTGATAGTCAAAATTCGTTTCCTTGATGTGTCCAACCCACTTCCGTATTTCAATATCATTTCATGTTTTCCGCTTCAATTTAGCAAATCAGTACTGCTAATAAGGCTGATGTGTAATGACTTGTAAAGAACGAAAAAAAAAAGCGTGGACCGAAACTCAATTTGTTTGTAGTGTCTTGGCACTATAAATGTGAACACGATCACGTAACCATAGAACCTTAAATGACTGTCATCTTTGATTGATGAAGCTCGATGCGGGATGTCTTCACGTTCTACGAAACATGAATTCCAAACTTCAGTTTTAGCATATTTTTTTTTACATCCTAGACATATAGACTGATGATAATAAGAATAAGGAATAAGAGAAAGCTTATCATTAACACGTTGATGTTAAAAATTCTAAAAATTCAAAACATGTTTGAGCCATACAGTGAAATATACATTGGTAAGTTTTAGTTTATTTTTTTATTTCACTTACTATAGGCTGCTGACAAAACAAGTAAAAGTTCTTATCGATTAAATAATGAATGTTCTCAACCAACTAGCTATAGACATTCACACTTATTCAAATTTAAAATGTACAATAGAATATTGTACATGCACTTTATATGTACTACTGAAAATTTTAATTAGATTTGATATAACCAAAAGTAAATGGAAGTCTTAGTTAGTCATTGTTTAATCAACCATTTTTAGACATACGAAAATGCATGTACCAAGTCAGGAATATAACAGTTGTTTTCCATTTGTTAGATGTGATTTTGCCATTTCATAGAGGACTTTCCGTTTCGAATTTCACTTGGAGTTCGGTACACTACAAAGGTCCAAAAGTCTGAAATGATCAATTTTGTCTGAATTTGCATGAGTTTTTACTTGACATTCTCTCGTAGTCTGAAATTTTGTAAAAATTCTTGACAACGTCTGAATTTGACATAAATAAGTACTTAATTTTTCTTGAAATATGTCTTGACAGTATCAACATTGTCTAAAAATTTCTCGATACTTTCTCAACAATCTGTCTTGATTAGTCTCGACCAATTCTTGAATGTCTTAAACTTGTCACGATAAGTCTTGACATTCTTAATGATGCCTGAATATGTCTTGACACATTCTCAACAGTCTTAAAGATGTCTGAATATATCTCGACACATTCTTTACGGTCTTATGAATGTCTCGACACTATCTCAACAGAACAAATTTCGCCTGAATTGTGAAGCGATACATTCCTGACAGTTTAAACACTTTCTTATGCTGTTTATACTCATTTCTATTACCGCTAAAATAAACTTAGAAGAACTAGAATGAAATTATACATTGTTAATAATAGTAAACAACATTTTAGACAATAATTGTTTATTTACCATGGTAACATTGAATATTATACATGAAAAATGAAATATGTCTACAGTATGGATTATATCATCATTTAGTAATTATTTATAATATTTATAAATCAACATTTGTCGGAAAAATTTTCAAATCCACATTTAAATTGGTTTATATCAACATACTCACATTTGTATTTAATACCCATATTTTTAAATATAAAGGTATTTACATGTCCAATATTTGCTTTTGTTGTAATAAGTGTAACTTGAAGTAACAGTATATTCTATAAACATGATAAAGAGAAATAAAGCAAAAGATATATCATGTATATTTAAGGAAACATGAATTCCAAACTTCAGTTTTAGCATATTTTGTTTACATCCTAGACATATAGACTGATGATAATAAGAATAAGGAATAAGAGAAAGCTAATCATTAACACGTTGATGTTAAAAATTCTAAAAATTCAAAACATGTTTGAGCCATACAGTGAAATATACATTGGTTAGTTTTAGTTTTTTTTTTTTATTTCACTTACTATAGGCTGCTGACAAAACAAGTAAAAGTTCTTATCGATTAAATAATGAATGTTCTCAACCAACTAGCTATAGACATTCACACTTATTCAAATTTAAAATGTACAATAGAATATTGTACATGCACTTTATATGTACTACTGAAAATTTTAATTAGATTTGATATAACCAAAAGTAAATGGAAGTCTTAGTTAGTCATTGTTTAATCAACCATTTTTAGACATACGAAAATGCATGTACCAAGTCAGGAATATAACAGTTGTTTTCCATTTGTTAGATGTGATTTTGCCATTTCATAGAGGACTTTCCGTTTCGAATTTCACTTGGAGTTCGGTTCACTACAAAGGTCCAAAAGTCTGAAATGATCAATTTTGTCTGAATTTGCATGAGTTTTTACTTGACATTCTCTCGTAGTCTGAAATTTTGTAAAAATTCTTGACAACGTCTGAATTTGACATAAATAAGTACTTAATTTTTCTTGAAATATGTCTTGACAGTATCAACATTGTCTAAAAATTTCTCGATACTTTCTCAACAATCTGTCTTGATTAGTCTCGACCAATTCTTGAATGTCTTAAACTTGTCACGATAAGTCTTGACATTCTTAATGATGCCTGAATATGTCTTGACACATTCTCAACAGTCTTAAAGATGTCTGAATATATCTCGACACATTCTTTACGGTCTTATGAATGTCTCGACACTATCTCAACAGAACAAATTTCGCCTGAATTGTGAAGCGATACATTCCTGACAGTTTAAACACTTTCTTATGCTGTTTATACTCATTTCTATTACCGCTAAAATAAACTTAGAAGAACTAGAATGAAATTATACATTGTTAATAATAGTAAACAACATTTTAGACAATAATTGTTTATTTACCATGGTAACATTGAATATTATACATGAAAAATGAAATATGTCTACAGTATGGATTATATCATCATTTAGTAATTATTTATAATATTTATAAATCAACATTTGTCGGAAAAATTTTCAAATCCACATTTAAATTGGTTTATATCAACATACTCACATTTGTATTTAATACCCATATTTTTAAATATAAAGGTATTTACATGTCCAATATTTGTTTTTGTTGTAATAAGTGTAACTTGAAGTAACAGTATATTCTATAAACATGATAAAGAGAAATAAAGCAAAAGATATATCATGTATATTTAAGGAATTACTGTAATATTTTTTCTGTCTATGAAGAAATAACATCAAAAATGTGGTGCACACTGAATAACCCGTGTAGCGGGTTATTTTAATGTGTGCACCACATTTTTTATGTTATTTCGAATAGACAGAAAAAATATTACGGTCATTCCTACTTAATGTTGATGACGTCAAGGTCACATGACAAAATTATGTCTATGAGCTGATAAACATAGCAACGTCATCCTATCAGAAGACGTGTTACATCCAAAATTAAATTATTGGTCATGATTTGTAAAGCTCAGAATAATCAAGTAAATTTAAGACACAATTAAAAATGTTCAGAATATGTCAAGCCATACTGAGAAAAAAAGATAGTCTAGAATCTGTCGAGAATTTCAAGACAGTATTCAAATTAGGAGAATTTGTCAAGAAATTTTAAGACCATATTTAGAATGTCGAGAATGTGTCTACTAAATTTCATACAAATTTAACATAAATCGGAAATTGTCAAGAAAAGTTAAGACATAAGTCATACTTTTTGAGAATGTCGAGTAATTGTTCATGCATATTGAGACAAAAATTGGTCTTTTCAGACTTTTGGACTTTTGTAGTGGTATTTGTTGATATTTTACATTTTAATGTTTTTGGTAAGATAAAATCAGCTTTCATTGCCTGTAATAGTCTATTCTCCAATTTTATATTTGACCCTGTAGTAAGAGATCAATCTGTTCCAGTTGTTATCTTTAGGAGCGATATACATTTACTTTGATAGCGGAAATCTAGCAGACGGATATATTTGTATGATGTGTATAATCTGAAAGTGTATTCAGTCTTTTTAATACATGTAATCCCCTATACTAACAGGAAGAAGACGAACACACAAATTGTAAAGACTTTTTTTGATTTGCAGACTTTGCCCCTGAGAATGCACTGATTAGGAAATATTTATGCGCCTCTTTATTCTGAAGTAAAATTAAAACATTTTACAGTGTCTTGTATTACTGTATTGTATAAAACAAAATTCTAACGTTTAAAGATATATAATATGACTTCTTTATTGTCCGGAACAAGCATTTTCTATTTGGTTGGCAGTCATGCTCTGTTCCAGTTGTTCGTTTCAAAAGACAATTATTTCTAACAGACAAAGAAAAGAATATAGACATTGTATTATTTTTACTACAATTTATACAAAGTACTGATATACACTCTCACAAATTATTTATTTATTTGTTAAATTATAAAATTTTGTTTGGTAAAAAAACAACATTAGTTCACATGTAAAACTTAAATAATAATTATAAACCAATGATATGAAACTAAATATAAGAAATCCGAAAGTATTAACATTTTAAAAAGCAGTGAACCTTAAACAACAAACAAACAAAAAAATACATAAGTATTAGCAATTTGTGTACGTAATTCTTTGTATTGAATTTGTTACAGGATGGCAGAGAATAAAATATGTGCAGGTTGTCTTAGGGAAGGTGAAAATAACAGCGCGCAATCATGGTGCAGTAATTGTAGTGAACCTGTCTGTTTGGAATGCGCAAGATCCCATAGGAAATTATCGTTTCCCCATAGAGTTATTCCAATCGAGAATGTACAAGGACTCAGTTCAGAGATCAACGATTTGTTACAAAGTTGCAACATACACCTCAATGAGAAGATTATCCTATTTTGCTGCCAGCACGATAAAGTGATTTGCGAAACGTGTCTGTCTGAAACACATCAAGAATGCAAGTCTATAATGTCAATAGAAAAGGCATCGAACGGCATAAGAGATAGCGATACCATTGCAGATCTTCAGAAACGATTGTGTAACTTGATTGAGGTATCAGAGGGGATACTAAGAAGTCAAGTGAAGAATCAAGATGATGTGAAGGAAAGCAATGACGAAATCAAAATTGAGATATCAAAGATGAAGACAACATTGATAGACCACTTAAACAAGTTGGAGGAAAGGCTAAATAAGGATTTAGATTTAAAATTTAAAGAAAGTCAAGAATCAATTTTAAAGGACAGACAAGAGATTCAGTCTATTTTAGGATCAGCAACTTCCTGGAAAAAGGATATAGATTCTCTCCACCCTTATGCAAATGAAATTCATTTGTTCCAGGCTGTAAAAAAATTGGACGCTAAAACTAATGAACTAGAACTGAAAATTCGTGATATTCAATCTGCAGGTTTAGTAAGACTAGAATTGCATAAGCCTAAAGATGTGTCAAACATGGAAGCATTTTTCCCATCATTAGGAACCATCACTGTTGAAATTCCGACAGTTCTTGAAACCGCTACCTTAGATATCAACCAACAGGGCCAGGCTATCGTAAGTTCTCAGGTTGAAAAGAAAAAGTTATCTCTAATTTCTTGTTTTATGGTAGATATATTTGGCAGAAATTTTAAAATATCTTATGGGTGCTTGATTCCAGGGAAACGATTACTTCTGTCCTTTGTTGAAAAGAAGATGCTTGCCACTTGCAACCTAGATGGATCAGAAGCTAAATCAATTGAATTAGAATATGAACCCCATAGTTTAACTTTGTATGACAAAATTCTAGCTCTTGTTACATCATGGGAGGGATGTTTTATTCAAACCCTGAATTTGACATCACTTAAACCCGAAAAAAAGATTTTTATAGGGAAAAACTGTGGAGGCATCACCTGTTCTGAGGGTAAAATATGGTTAAGTGTTGAAATAGACTGTTTAATAATGACTAATCTCAATGGCGATATTTTGAAAAAGATAAATACAAAAGCAAACCCTTGCGATATTTCTATGAATACAGGTGGTGACGTTTTCTTTACCAGACGGGAAACAGGGGACTTCAAGGTTTTACGAGCAAACAGCAAGTACGTAACTAATTTCAATTGGTTGCGTCATGCAAATGGCATAGCAGTAGGTGACTCCAATTGTGTGTATGCGTCCCAATGGAAACCAAGCAACATTTATAGAATACACGAAGAACGTGATGCTGATGGTGAAGACACCGAAAATCTGTTAAATGGAAATGACGTAATCGAGAACCCGTCTACACTATCTTATGACAATGAAACAAAGCATCTTATGATAATCAATGAAAACGGCAAATCTGTTCTGATATATAAAATACATTGAGTTTGCGAACTAAATTCGTTTTTCATTTTTCTATCAATTATTGACATTTAAAAAAGGGATGTTCGTTTGTTGCCACAATTATACTTATTTAAGTGAAACAGATATGATAAATATATGAGCATTTATACCCAAATACCAAATTGTTTCTTATATAACTGCTCGTTATTAATAAATACCAACAAAGCACACATATGGCTGAAAATTACTTAATATCTTTACTTAAACAAGTTCAACAATTCTATTAATCGTCCTTATGTGGTATACTTTCTTATACTTATTCTTCCATAAATTGCATCATTTTCTTCATTTAAAGAGTCATAAAAAAACTATTTAACTCCATAAACCGATATAAATAGGAAGAAATATTCTTTATACGTTTAAGTTGATTTAGGTTGGTATTCATGTTGGCTCAAGCTCCTGTTAACGTTGACAATTTAAAGGAAACCATTTAACAAAATCTGATTGAGTAGTCTTGAATGTGCCGAGACCATTTTACGCAAATTTGATTACAATTTAAATGCTTTCATAAAGTCCAAATATTCATTGGAACCACGTGATTATTAGAGTGTCCAATTTTTCTCTCTCAGAAAAGTTAAAAGATAACAAGAGGTAACCAAAAACCGTTTATCAAAGAAAGACAGACAATGTCATAATCAAAAGATAAAGGAAAACAAAAACACACAGTAGTAAAAATAAATCAGTAGTCGTAAAACTACAACTTGATAAATTTCAATGCAAAACACCACCGTAGGCCGAGAGTAGTTTAGAAGATCCTCGGAGATTAGTAATTCCTGCATCCCACATTTGTAACTTCCGAAGCAAGGTTGTCGGCTCTCCGGACTTCCCTTAGTCCTGCGTTAAATTGATTCCCGAGTTAATGAGCCTCGGTCCTTGCTTGAAAGTTGCCACATCTGTTGTAAAATTTTGTTATGTTCGGTTCTGTTTTAAAGGTATTATACATTAATGGATTGGTAACGTCTACCGTTTTTTTTAAACATACATGTTGTTGATCAACTAACTGCACAAAATTAGAAGACACTGTTTATATCAACTAAAAGAGGCTGGACTCGAAAAGGAAACATTTAGAAGGAAACTTCAGAATATAACTAGCATGCCACATTGTTTACTCTATCTTCTGAATTATTCAGCTTCATACACATAGTTAGCACTGTTGCAATGCCGTGGGATAAAAACTCTTTGTTACGCATTATTTGCCATTCCCAGCTACGAGGTATAAATCTGTCAGTGAGGCTTTAAAATTGATGACCATTCACTGAAACGATAATATAAGAAGGGTATACTAGTGAAAGGAGGGTCTAAATGTGCTCGATACAACATAATGATAGGTTAGTTAGCAACAACAGTTGGTTGAATACCGACTAATAAATGATTTAATACAAACTAAAAAAAAAAAAAAAAAAAAGCTTAATTAAAAGTTTCAATCAGAATAAATTATTATTCTTAGCATAACATCTTGTGTCATATATTTCTACATATTCTGGACGAGAACTTTTTAATATATTTCAAGTTGGTCCATTGGATATAGAAAGGTCATTTTGACTGTTTCTGGACAATAAGGGTATTGTGAATAATATGAGAAATTTATAATTACCGAATCAGACAATGCACCCGTCAAATAGTTTTGTGGTGTTTTTTAGAAAACCGAGCGCTCTATTTACACGGGGCGAGGTCATTTTTTTCTGACTGTTTATGACGTCTTAATTGTGAATCAATCGGATTATCATATTATAGTCGCGCAACTAGGATTTTTTTTAATCAATTGTAGTTTGTTTTGAACTAGCTTTCTGTGACTGCCAGGTATGAGTTCGATACTTTGTGTCTTTATAAACATAAGAAGATGTGGTATGATTGCCAATGAGACAACTCTCATCCAGCCAAAATGACGTAGAAATAATCAACTATTGGTCTCCGTTCGTTTTTCAACTATAAGCAAAACCCAAACATGCGAGGCATATGCTATAAATGGCTCCAAATGTAAAATGTATAACAATTCTAACGAAAACTAACGGACTGATTTTAGTGCAAAAAACTAAACGGAAAAAAAATCTAATCATTTTGTTTGAGTTGATCTAATGAGTCAAACATTGTTTTAACTCCTTAGTATAGTTTGTTCTTATTGTGAACAAAAAACAGCATGATGGTGAGAAAGTGCCAGGGATTAATTACAGGTTTGAAGGAATATATCGGCAATCTTTAAGAAGAGTGCATAAAATTAGAATGGAAATGGGGAATGTGTCAAAGAGACAACAAACCGACCATAGAGCAGACAACAACCGAAGGCTCCCAATGGGTCTTCAATGCAGCGAGAAACTCCCGCAACCGGAGGCGTCCTCCAGCTGGACCCTAAACAAATATGTATACTAGTTCAGTGAAAATGGACGTCATACTAAACTCCGAAATATACACAAGAAACTAAAATTAAAAATCATACAAGACTATCAAAGGTCAGAGGCTCCTGACTTGAGACAGGCGCAAAAAATGCGGCGGGTAAAACATGTTTTTTGAGATCTCAACCCTCCCCTATACCTCTAGCCAATGTAGAAAAAACAAACACACACCAATACGCACAGTAAAACTCAGTTTAAGAGAAGTCCGAGTCCAATGTCAGAATAGGTAACGAAAGAAAATGAACAAAATGACAATAATACAAAAATTAACAAAAGACTACCAGCAGTTACTGACATGCCAGCTCCAGACCTCAATTAAACTGATCGAAAGATGCTGTCTTCATCATATGAATACTAAGCACAATCCCTCATGTTAGGGGTTTTGTATTATACCATCATAAAATATATGAGAAGAACATAACCCGTGTCATGCCAACAACTGGTTTTAGAATAAATGTGTTTAATTCCGTTGCAAAGACCCTATAAGTGAATCAATATTAAAGCCAAAATATGCAATCTTTAATGACCTGACAACAGTTTCGAAACTAAATCCCTTCTTAATAAGTTTGTTTAAAGGTTTTGTTAGCTTTTGAGGTGAATACTGACATTTTTGTGTTTTGTAAAGAATATTACCATAAAAGATTGGATGTGAAATACCTGAACGTATAAGATGTCTGCATGTTGAGTAATATTTACGAATGATGTCCTTGTACCGATGATACAATTTAGTAAATGTTTTGACTAGTTTGTGATATCGAAAACCCTGTAATAATTTTTCAGTAATACATAAATTTCTCTCGCTAAAAACTAAGACGTTGTTACATACACGAGCTAATCGTACAAGTTGAGATATATAAACACCATAAAATGGTGACAAGCGAACGTCACCATCTAAAAACGGATAATTAACGATAGGAAATGAAAAATCATCTCTTTTATCATAAATTTTTGTATAAACCTTCCTGTTAATGATATAGATATAAAGATTGATGAAAGGGCAGTGGTCATTAGCTTTATCAACAGGATAAATGTCTTTAGTATACATACTGAAGTCGTCATTATTGAGAGTCAATATATCATCCAAATATCTAAAAGTATTGTTAATTTTTTGTATCAGATGTTGTTTCGATGGGTCTTTGCTGATTTTAGTCATAAATTATAACTCATAACAATACAAAAACAGGTCCGCAATAAGTGGTGCACAGTTAGTCCCCCTTGGAATTCCGATAACTTGACGATATACGGAGTCTCCAAAGCAAACAAAAATGTTATCTAGTAAAAATTTAAGGGCAGATAAAGTATCAACGCATGTCCAATTGACATAATTCTTTTGTTTGTTGCTGCTCAAAAATGACCTAAAAGAGTTTAAACATATGTATTCGCATTCTGACTTTTTAAATGCCCATTTAATTAGGAGTGTGAATTTTTTCTTAATAAGAATATGAGGCAAAGGGGTATATAGAGTAGAAAAATCTAAATTTTGAACAGATTTAAAATCACCAATTCATGCATGCAATTTATCAATTACTTCCAACGAGTTTTTGACACTCCAAAAGTAATTAATTCCACTATTTTCAAAGGCCTTATTTGAACAATTTATTATCAGGTTTTTGATTGTACCTAGTGTACTAGTAAGTAGAATAGGCAATTGAGTAGTGGAACAATGGCTTGAAGACGAAATAAATCTATATTTGTAAGGTGTTTTGTGTAGCTTCGGAAGCCAGTACCTAGTTGGGACTTTCATTGTATTTGGTTCTGCTTGTAAAGAAGTAGATAAAAATGTTATGTTTGTTACAGATGTCGTTTTCCGAAAATGGAGTCAGTTGGAATGTTTGTGAATTTGTGATTTCATTTTGCAAAACCTCAGTGTAAAATTTACGTCAAACAATAATGATATTATTAGAAGCTTTATCAGCCGGGACAAAAACAAATTCCTTGGCTAGTTCTTTTAGTTTATGTTTGATACGAGGAATGGGGTTTTTATGGTTGTTGTTAAGAGTAAAATATTCTTTAAAATGTTGTATACGTATATCAACTATGTTCATTACTGAATTAAAAAAAGAGTCCAAAGATTTTTTGTCAGCTTTTTCTCGTTTTATCCATTTCAAACAGTAAGTACGGAGTGAGTCGTGGATGACACTCATTCCAATTAATAATTGACGGGGGACGATATTTAGGTCCTTTACTGAGGAACGAATTTAACTCTCGGTCGCGAACGATGTTAAGGTCTCCTGTTATAACATGGGAAATGGGGCCATAAATGTTTTCGAAATTACTGCAATTACATGACGTAGGTGTATTTTCACTGATATTTACATCTTTACACACTTGGCTATAATTAAGCACATATTTTCGGGAAGGTTTCTTGTAAACATAACAAATAAGAGGGAGTTCAGTATTATCAAAATATCCAGGAATTTGTTCTTTAACAGAACGATCTTCAGGGCGATCAATTTTGGGGAACAGACTAGAATAACAATATGCTATCATAATTTGAACGATTTCATACTTAGGACTGCAATATGGAATTATGTTGCAATCCTCTAAAATTTTATTTAATCTATTTACAGGTAAATAACAGAGCTTGGTTAACAGATAATGTCTGCCGTTGTTTTTTGAAATAGAAATAAGGTCCAAAATATTTGTATAGTTGGTCCGAAATTTTCTTTGATTGCGATTTTTTCTACGCCCATGAGAACGGTTTTTACGAACAGTTTTAGAAACTATATCCAAAATGTTAATAGAATCGGTTCTTGATATATTACCAATTCCTATGATATTATCATTAAGACCGAGAGGGTAGACTGTCTGTATTTATTTAATCCAATTTAATTCAATTATTTTCCGTGATCGTACAAACTTTGAATGAGATTCACCAGGCTGCTTATTCACTACTTCTAAAGGTTGAACTGTTAAATATTTGATAGGATGATTGTGCTTCTTACTGTGTTGATAAATGATACTTTTGAATTCATTGGGTCTTTTAAAACGATACAGGTGGTCTTGTGTGCGTTTTGATAAATATCGTCCAGTTTCACCTACGTACTGAATATCGCATCCCGGTTTGTTTCATGTGAGTAAATAGATAATGCTGTTTGTTTTTCATTTGATATCAGTTTCAAAATTTAAAGAAAATGTGCGACCATTAAACGTGGTCTGTTGTGTTTTTTTATTTTTAGCCATGGCGTTTTCAGTTTATTTTCTATCTATGAGTTTGACTGCCCCTCTTGTATTTTTCGCCCCTCTTCTCTTACACATTTTAGTACACAATCCTATTTACTATAATAATCATTGACTAAGTAAATTTCCAAACTTATTGAATGAGTTTTACTGGGCATCTAATTTTTTTTATTATTTTAATATCTGGAGTAAATAAACGGTTTAAGGATAACTATATTATAGATCTTATGATGTTGAACATGTTTTACTAGCTACAATCACTCTTTGTTTTTTATATAGTTTCGACCAAAAAAAGGTGACCATTATTTTTCAAGAACACAACTATAATAAGGAAAATTTCAGAAATTGTTGACTAATTTATAAACCTTATTTTGCCGATCATTATCCCTATTACAATTTGTTTCTTTCTATTACAGTTTCTGCAAATACCGTAAAAGGGGTAAATATTTTCTTCAAAGGATAATAACTCCTATAAACGGTCAATTGCCGGTTTCGAAAGTCATTTTTGGCAGAACATTTTTGCTTTGGAAAATTTGGTTCTATACAAAGTATAATAATTTCATCAAGAAAACAAAAACAAGGTAAACTTTTGTCTTTTAAGTGCAATAACTCATAAAAGAGCCAATTTACAAATTAGACTCATACGTAAATTATATTAAGCATATCATGTATATCGTTTTTGCAAATATGACAAAAGGGTAAAAATGATCTCTTTAATTAAATTCAATAACTCTATATATAGGAACCAATTAACGATTTCGGGTATGTTCACTTATGTGTAAGGTCTCATTAGCTTTGCACTTTATACTATTTAAGTGTTTGTCTCTCTGTAAGAGTTTTAAAGATAATAAAAAAAAGAAAAATTGCAAACATTTTTCAAATTACTCCATAGAAGATAGACCCTGACGATATATTATTTTTAAACAAGATCGCGTAAGGAACATTAAAAGAAAGTTTGGTAATATCAAGAAGAATATTTTAAAAAAAGGCGACATTTGAAAAAGTTTAAAAAGTAAAATATCAAAAATACCGAACACCGAGAAAAGTTCCTAATCAAATGGCAAAATCGAAAGCTCAAACACATCAAACGAATGGATAACATCTGTCATAATCCTGGTACAGACATTTTCTTAGGTAGACAATGGTTGATTAAACCTGGTTTAAAACGACAGACGAATGCACCACGACGACGAACGCAAGAGATGAACTAAACAATAACAATTACATGTCTCTCCAAGTAAGGAAATAGTATGACTGCTAAAGATTTGACAAATTGATAATTTATTTATTGCATCAGATCTTACTAGATGCGTTAATAGTAATTAAAAAGTTTGAACTTAAATATTAAAAGTCACATCTGCTTTTTAAGAAAATTTGCTCCATTATAGCATTGCTATATTTTGTAATTTTTACAGATTCATTGATTATATGAGTCTTAAATTCATTAGATAAATGCATGTTCTATTTTAATAGTAACGTATTCGGGTTCACTGTAAACAAAACCAATTTGAAAAGCTACATAGAATGTAAAATTGTTTTTTATCAAATTGTCAAGTACATTTTCCACATTTGTCGATGACAATACTAACAATGAAACTGCCAACAACCACTACTAGTAAAAGTACAAATACCGCACGTCCCAAGAGTCCAAAAGTCTGGTCTTTGTCTTGATCCTGATGTACTAAACATAATTATGATTCATTAGAATAATGTATAATGTATAATGATTGAAATGTATAACAAATGATAAGTATTATACAAAATAATTAAAACATCGTTCGTTGATGCTTTCGACCCGTTTATCCATGGTAGACTGGAAATTTAACGGTTCTGTAAGTGCAAAATTTTATCGAATCAAATCCTTCACATCTGGATTTAATTATAACATTTATTCAACATATTGTAAAATTGTAATTTGATATGTATTTTGTTTTTCCATTTGTAAGATTGCTTTAGAAATAAACATCAACTGATAGTCTTGTTTTGTTTAAACCTAATCGTGAGGATAGCGCCAACACCGTTAAAAAATACAATTTGCCAGCCTAGTTTGTCTAACAAATTACGTAGTTCCACGTCAGTGCAACAGCTACAAATTGCTGTTTTGTCCGACAAGTAAACGCCATTCCTAAATGAACAGTAAATTGACGACAACCTGTCTGTACGTAACATGACCATCAAATACAACGAAGCATTGTTCATAAGCGCTTCTTTTCATTATACAACACGGCTTGTGTTGGTTTTCCTATTCATCAAAAAAACAACATTGAAGCAATTTTGGCGACAGTTTTTCTTAAATCAAACTATCTGTTGGTTGATTTAAAAAATATCTGAGTTTCAAAAACATCATATACGAGTTGCAAATTTCAGACTGAGATAGATATACCCTCAAATCAAGTGGCTTTAACCAGCTAGAGTCTGCCAAATATATGATAAGTATAAGGAAATATAACGCAAATATCCTGTTACGCCGTTCCTCTATTTATATAGTTCGTTTGATTATAATCTTAATCTGTTTATGTGTTCCAGTCTAGGAGGATTAATCATCTTTAAACCTTATAAGAACTTGTAAGAACGTTAAATCATTGCATCATCGCTACTTTTCCCTTTCTTACACGTATCTCAAATTGAACATTGCAAGGTTATCCCAGTACTGGAGAACTTTCTAAGGAAAAACGTCATCTTGAACACAATTCGTGGCCAACCACAGACTTTTTACCATTTGTTAGATTGGTTTAGGAATAAAGTATCAGTACCTGATAGTCTTTCTTGCTTGAGCCTAATCGTCGGTTAAACTTAATGATCAGGCCATTACAGCAAATAACCTAACAAGAGACATACAAATAGTATGACAGACGCTCGATGTGCGGTATGGTGCTCCAGATATTTTAGAGGCATCTCTCTGATAAACCTGTCAACATCCAACAATTGAATAACAAGGAAAACAGACTTCTTTATGAATTGTCTGATATTCTATTAGAAATATAATACCACAAGATAAATCCAAGGCTGGGATGTTTGATTGCAAATGGTTTATTTCGGAATAAAACTTATTGGGGCAAATTTCCATAATCGATTCCAAACAAAGAAAATAACAAGCGCTTCATTATGAAAGTTCCAAAACGGATTTCCTTTACAGCCTGTCGGGAAATTATCTGCGGTTATGAGAAAAAAAAAGCAAGATCCAACATGATCCTGTATTCAACCTTAGGTCGGAATATGCACAAAAGATTCACCTTAGACGCATCTGAAATCGACATCCATAAATTGACAGTTGAACACCAACTTTAAGTAAAAAAACGACATATTTTGAACTAGATATAACGATGATAACTGTGGCTAAGATTGGATAAATTTGGCTCTCTATTTTAAGATGTGACGACCGACGCCAAGTGATGCTAAATGATTTTGTTTACTTAACAAACATTTTCGTGTACAATCAATAGAAAAGAAAGGATGTGGGATATCCGTCCATGAAACAACCTCAGTATATGCACAGTAAACTACACAAAAAAGAAAGAACAGCGCTTGTATTGCTGTTATTCATCTCAGTGAGGTCACAGTGACACATTTAATAATGAGAAAAAAAACTATTTTTACATCAATCATACATGATAAAAATCAAACATACCTTGTTTTGTTCAATCTCAAGACACACTTCATTCGCTGTTTCAAAACGTTGTTTGATAGTCTTTGTGCAGACGCAGCAGTCCAGCTCTAACGGATGATGAATGCAATTTTTCGAGATGTGATGATATTTCAGGCTAATTTCAACTTTGTAAAATACATGATTTCGAACGGAACTTATGTTCAACAATTGCGTTATATTTTTACCCTATAAATAAAATTCGTAGAATAAGTATATTTTCAGTTGTCAATTTTCTTTCACGAATGTATTTCATTGTTTCAACTTAAAATACGATGAGAACATTACATCAAATTGCATATTACAAAAAAAAGTTTATAAAACCTTCAAACGACAGATAGTTTCCTGTTAGGTGAAAAATTGATGCAATTTAAAGATAAACCATTCGTGAAGAAGACAATTTAATACTGTTCTTTTCATAACATATTTAGGGGAAGAATATGCTTCTAGATTTGTTTGTGTTCCTTTTTTTACCGACATACACTCTATAATTTCACATACTAATTTGTTTTAGAAACAGTGTTTCGCCATATCAAAATGATATTCTTACTCGTAGAAATAACAGTTGTTTCAAAGGGATATATTCATCCACACACACATTTTATATAAAACTGGCACTCTCAAAATTAAGTTTGGGAATAAGAGAATTATTAACACAACGGAGAATAATTCTAATGTTATAAAAAGTTATATCTGGAGAAAAAAACAACTACTGTAGTTTCAAAGATTTAAGGTAATTTGATTGTTTGTTTTCATTTTTTAGGGCTTTGTTAACCAAACATTGTAAGACTGTGAATGCATTTGTTTTTGTATAGGCATATTTTATAGTAATTGACAACATACCCCAATAGACGCTCTGCAAGCTGGAAATGGAAACACTTTTTCAAATTTCATTAAAAATAATATATGGTCGTCATCTTGCTTGAAAATAGTGTTGTTGCTGTTTGGATGATCTGAAAATATGACGTTCAATGTCATTGCAATGCTATCAACTGATATTTTAAGAGTTAACATTGGATTCCATATGTAAGTTTTCGAAAGTGTATATAAATATGTTGATAATTTCAGTTATGCCGAACTATATTTTAACTGTTTTCTGCTCTCACTTTTAGACGCAATAAATATATATGACGGTTGAGGTATGATGTGCTTACCCTGAAAGAAACATTTTTTAATATAAATTGTCTTTACTATTTATGTTTAGTTTGAGGCACAGATGTAATAAAACCATTGCATTGATGGAGCTCCGTATCCTGATTTCAGTATATTGCTAAATAATTTTAGATCCTTTTGGAAATATTTCAAGACCTCAATAGTCTGATTTAGGATTACTATAAATAATAATGGAAATCTTTTTAAAAGTATTTAATGACCTCCATAATTTGATTTCAGGAAATGCATTCTTCTATCTCAGGTTGTTATGAAATATTACAGGACATCCTGAAATATTAAAAAAAACCCTACCCAAATAATCGAATATTTTTTTTTTCTTTCAAAACATGGTCAATCCAGTTTAAGGATATCTTAAATATTTTTCAAAAACCCCACAATTATTGCTGGTTATTCAAATTTGTCGGATATCCTTACACGTGTTAAAACTACAAAAGAGGGACAAAAGATACCAGAGGGACAGTCAAACTCATAGATCGAAAACAAACTGACAACGCCATGGCCAAAAATAAAAAGACAAATAGACAAATAATAGTACAGATGACACAACATAGAAAACTAAAGACTAAGCAACACGAACCCCACCAAAAACTGGGGGTGATCGCAGGTGCTCAGGAAGGGTAAGCAGATCCTGCTCCACATGTGGCACCCGTCGTGTTGCTTTTGTTATTACAAATCCGGTAAATAGTCTAATTCGGTAAGTCACATTCTTGAAAAGTGTACCGAACCGAAGTATTCATAAGTACCGACAACCAATTCATAACATATACTTTGTTAAAATATGTTTTCTCTATTCAAATTAGATTAACATAAGCTGTATTCATCTTACAAAAATCATGCTTTTAACAATATCATTTTAATAAAGGCAATGTTTGCATCATTTTTACGGAAGGCTTAAATGTTTGACATTTGCATTTTGTATGTGCCTGTCTGAAATTAAATTCCGTTGTTGTCGTTTAGTGATGTCTAACATATTTTATTTAATTTGTTGTTCTGTATACTCAGACCGTTGGTTTTCTGGTTTGAATTATTATACATTTTGTAATGCTGGGGCTTTTTAAAGATTGCTTTACTGTACGGCCGTTCGGAGACCTATAGTTGTTTACAAAAGAGGGGCGAAAAATACCAGAGAGACAGTCACACTCATAGATCGAAAATAAACTGACAACGCCATGGCTTAAATAGAAAAAGACAAACAGACAAACAACAGTACATAGGACACAACATAGAAAACTAAAGACTAAGCAACACGAACCCTACCAACAACTAGGGGTGATCTCAGGTTACAACTTATATAAGCGGAATACTGTTTACTTAACGGATAACTGTGTTGGTTTTAACATAGCGACGTGTAGCGAAGCTATGTAAACAAATATTTGCGAAATAAAATAACGTTTTTGAAAGCCAAGTATAAAATACTATACAGTTATCTCCATAATGCCACATACTAAAATAGATTCCATTTTTGTAAATATTTTTACTTAAAAACGCGAAACTGCTACATTCTCTTTTGCATCTTACTAAAGTGACGTCATATGTATACTTCTGATGTCAAACATAAACACTAGACGTTTTATTTTTATATTTTTCGTACGCTTACATGGTTAAAATAGTGACAATTTAAGGCACAAAATAAGGTGTCCTCATGTCGCGGTAGAGACTGCGGTACGACAATAGTATTTGTCAATTTAGAGGGTATTTTTTTCATATCTAATTGAAATATTAATTGGAAAAATGACATTAAATCCGATTGAACATACAACAATTTTGCAGAGATACTTACTTTCGAAGTTTTCCACGGTCATATTTAAAACTTTCTTGTACGTATGAAAACCATGTTGGCATGTATATGGCACGTTCACGTCACCAGATTCTAATGACGTAATAGTTAAAATCGATGTACGGTTTGCCTCGTCTAACTTTTCTGAATATTTTGTATCGTTTACAGTCTTGCCATTTACCACCAATTCTCTAACGTTGTCTCCTTTACTCCAATGTCTGTGATTGTTGATTGTAGTATTATCATCCATATTACAGTGTAATTCAACATCTTTTCCAAACACTGCTGGTCTAGTGGCTAAGCTCCATGATACCGAACCTGTAATAAATGAGTAATAATAAACCACCTTTCTGTAGAGGATATTTTCATGGAATAGATATGTGCTAAACCTGTTATTTTTATTCCAATTTATTAAAATTACATCCAGGATCTTGTTGATCATGTAAACCTTGATATCTGTTTATTATGAATCATGGTGTTATGGCTGCTCTGTAAGTACTTACATGAGCAACACGACGGATACAACATATCATTGTATCTGCTCTTCCTTTCAGATTAATCCCCGTTTATAATGGGATTTGTGCTGCTCAGTCTTTAGTTTTTCTATGCTGTTTTTTGTATGCTGTTTTTTGTATGCTATTATCTTTTATTCGTTTTGCTATCTTGAAATGGCATTTCAGTTTGTTTTCGGCTTTCTGCAGAATATTACTGTGATATCTTTCGCCTCTGTTTTTGCACGTGAAGTTGCAGTGCCATTGATATTTTCCTCGTATCTATTATTATTTGTCAATGTATAATACAGAGATTTGCCGTAAAATAGCACGTACAAATTTAGAAAATTTAAAGTGAACGAAGGTATAAGTTAATATGATGTGTTGTCGCATAAAATGTTGTCATTACTCACCATTTGATAATTCTATATGAAGCAGTTACAATAGACATATCTGTTTAAATAGAAATTGGCAATACAGTAGTCGTTAAACAATTATCCAATATAAGACATATAGTGTTAGCATAATTTATATTACACTCCATCAAAGACTTAATGTCATTTAATTGTATATGACACATTTTAGGGATACCCTTTAGTTATATCTCATGGAATAACTTTGTACACATATTTCTTCAATCATTAAGAATAAACCGTGTTTTTTTTTAAATGGATAAGAAGATTTTCTAAATATATATCTATAAATATTTAGACTGTTACATGTAGAAATATATGTTTGGATCGAGTATCTGCAAAATGCCTTCCTAAATTATGTTTATTTATTAAAATAGATCCATTTTAATTTTTGTTTATAATTCTTTTGGCTTTTCAGTTTTATAGCCTTTTTTATATTTGTTTAAAGGAGTAAAACCTTTGTCCTGTTTGTTGCTTATCAGCTTTTTTTTGCTATTGTTTTGTTCGACTTTCTTGTTACGCTCCAAACATGACTAGAGTAATAATATGATCCTGTATCAGTAAGCTAGCAGAGATGGTGTATAGGGAATTAGTAAGCAATAGTAGTTTTATTATTTTTATTTTATACAAAATCCTTATACCTGAATCAAGACAAATACTGTAGCTCAACCTTCGTGATATGGCAACGTTTTGAGAGCATCTTGCAGTGTTTTTAAACTGATTGAAAAATTAAGAATATAAGACTTTATTTACTTTCATTTATGAAATTAATCAAAATTAATGATGTTAAAAAAGATGCTAATATTCAAGTAAACATAAAACACAAGATATTGTGACAAAATGATAACAGATGCAAACTGCAATATATGGGCCAACACTTCACAATTGACATTGTATCGAAGTTGAATGCATAAAGTTGAAGATAATGCATATGTTAGGGATTTTCTAGTTGAGGTGTGTTATACGACAAGTAAAATTATGCATTATCTGACTTATCTACTATAATCTACTATAAAAATATATGTACATGTATTTGTCAAAGATTTGCTTTAAATTGTTTCCATTTTACCGATCAAGAAAAAAATGAGATACTCTTTTCTATTGATATTAGCAGAAGTCCATTACTAGACGAAGTTTGCAAGCTGTGCTATATAGTAAGGCGATCACGGTGTCCCCATAATCAGTGGAAAGCGTCATATGTGGTCCTCCTAAATCTCGTTTTACAACTATGGAATCATGGGTAGAAATATTATCATCAAACAGATAGCTGTTAATTAGTCTCTTTGAGTGTTGTTTAATTATCAGATTGTTGAAAATGAAGTGAGCCGACATAGTGCGGTGGATTTTTATTGTCAGTTATTTGACTTCGTTTTCAACATTTAAAATGATATAAAATTTTATAAAAGAATTCATCTCTACAATTTTTCATCGCGCAATGGCAAACTATAAAATCATATAAAATCTGCCTTGTCATGCGTGTAGGACTAAAAATGTATCGTCTATTTTGAAGATATAGTTGTTTTTTGTCAAAATATAAGTCATAATTGCCTATTTAAAAAAAAAAATAAAACGTTGTGTTGACGAACTATCATGTATCGGTTATTTACGGCACCAGGGAAGCTATATACGGTGACGAATAAGCAAAAGATAGGATTTTCTTCGCTTCTGTCGAAATACATTTGTCTAAAAGAGGGACGAAAGATACCAGAGGGAATGTCAAACTCATAGATTGAAAATAAACTGACAACGCCATGGCTAAAAATAAAAAGACAAACAGACAAAGAATAGTACAGAAGACACAACATAGAAAACTAAAGACTAAGCAACACGAACCCCACCCAAAACTGGGGGTGATCTCAGGTGCTCCGGAAGGGTAAGCAGATCCTGCTCCACATGTGGCACCCGTCGTGATGCTAATGTTATTACAAATCCGGTAAATAGTCTAATTCGGTAGGTCACATTCGTGAAAAGGGAAGGGTATTGTAGTTACGACATAAGGAACATATCCGATATCATCTGTGAAACGGTTATTCCATAACGGTCAACAAACTCGTGATGGCGTCCGTAAAATTTACGAAGGGATGATTTCAACTTCACCATTTGGAACTCTTGGTTTAATAGCTTCCTTGTGAGCAGCAATCCTCTATCAAGGAAATCAGAATAGGAAATACAAGTCCGGGAATATCGTATCAATTGGGAGATATATACTCCGTATGCAGGCGCTGCTGGAATGTTGGTACATAGAAATGGAAAATTCACAATTGGGAAGCTGAAATTATCTCTTTTGTCGTAAAGTTTTGTTTTCAACCAACCCTCATTGTCAATTTCATTTGTCTAAAATAAGCGAACATTTGTTGCTTCAGATGACTTCGAAACTATTTCGACCTGAATAAGCGATGTACTGAGTTTAAAGTCCCTCCTCTGACCTGACATGGCTGCCGAGTACTAATTTATACATCCTACACTTGTAAGAAAGGGTCTTACCGTTGGAACCGGATAATTCAAGGGAGTATACCTAGTTTCTTTACCCAACTCATCCCTTGAGATTGGTTTAGTATTCGAACAAATTAAATCAAATTGTCGACACAGCTAGTTTTTTGAAAATAAGTCTTCATCGTATTTCAGTATGAAGTATACTTGCATAAAGCATAAATATGTATTACTCATTGTTTACAAAGATCGTGATCACAACTTTTCCTACAATTTAGAGTGCATTTCTTTCTTACACAAACGATGCAGACGGCTAAGCGCGCACATGTTTTGATCATTTGTTTCTAACATACGTTTACAAAGTTTACATAAACTTTGACAAACTATGCACTCGCTAAAAATGCGTCTACACAGTTTGTCGTTCATCGTTTGTTAGTACAAACGCTACATTTGTTTCTAACTTCAAGTAATACCGTCAAGATCTCAGTAACGCAGGATTTAAGATAGCAGTCGAAATTGAAGAAGGAGTATCAAGAAGTGAGCTTTTTTATTCCGTCTGATAATTTTTCTATGGTTATAATTGTAGATTTTAAAATTTGATAAATAATACAAACATTTTTTATTCCTTTAAATTACGCATCATAATGATTTATGACACTGATATAATATGGCATCTGCTATTCATTAACACATCGATGGTCAAACAATATTTTCAACTGTGTGCTAATTAAGTTGTAGGGTGTTTCGCTCATATCCCGTTTCAATCACAGTTGGAAGTACGGGGACAACGTGATCGCCTTACTATATAGCGGGTTACACACTTCGTCTAGTAATGGACTTCTGATATTAGGAATAACCACGACAAATGGCTCAATGATGAGGTTAAATAAAACTCACTTATCGTGATATAAACTTTAACGGCTTTGATAATTACTGTCCAGTTAAATCTAATGTTAAAGGTAAGATAACAAAAGTACCGAACTCCGAGCCGTTCAGAATAATTATTACGTCTCTTATTTGGCAATACCATTTTTATCCTCAAATTTTATTTATAAGATATCATGTTTAACTTCCTCCCTAAAATAAATTACGTTGATGATCAGGAAATGAGAAAAATTGTTTATTCGATAGTGTAAAAGAAAACGTATATATCATTTAAAAAATCTCGAACGAACAAAGCACAAAACATAATGCGTATGTTACAGCAAATGATTTCCAACACAGTGTGAAGTAACATAAGATATGGTACAACGAATATATGAGTGCCAATGAGACAACTCTCCATCCAAGTCGCAATATGTAATGGTAACACACTATAGGTCAAAGTACGGCCTACAACACGGAGGCTAAGCTCACACCGAAAAAGCAAGCTATAAAGGGCCCCAAAAAACAATAGACAGTTTTTTCAGGATTTTTGTTATTAATCCTGCATATATAGGTTAAACACTTGTTAAAAGGGTAATGAAAATTTTTACATTATTAGATTATCTTAAACAGTCACTGATAATGTTTCTTTATTGTACCGATAAATTAAAAACTAAAATTCAGAATATTTGAATCTTAAAATAAATGACGTAAATTTTTAGCATTTCAATCTATAAAACTGATAATTTTTTTATCAACAACACATGATAAATTCAAATGAATTAAATGTTTTGAAAAATGTAGCTTGCATATTAATCATGAAAAATAATGAAATAAAACTGGTCATTATTTTATGTCTTATCTACATCACATGATCTATTATAAAGCTACTCATAACCAACGACTTACCGCTTTTAAACTTGCCAACCGGTTTGTATCTTTATTTTCAAACACCATTCTGCTATCTTCTTTTCTTGCTTGTTGGGATTCTCTCTGGCTGCATTTAAAAACGATAAAATACTTGATGTTTATCTGATAGAGCTATTTTTTTTTATCTAAAATTACATACTTATATAACTTGATATAAGGAGATGTGGTATGAGTGCCAATGATACAACTCTCCATATATAACTTATTCATATCAAAAGGAGAGTAAATAACACAGTTAAATATTTTAACATAAGCTGAATCTTTTATTAACTATTTTCATGAAGTTCATAAGTTATAATGATATATGATAAGTATATTATTATTTTACTTTCTTTAAGAGGAAATTATTTCTATTAAATTCATAAATCGGTAAAACGTGACTTTAAATGAGTGTATATATACCTATATTAAATACCCAGAATGATCTAATCTTTAGTTTTTCGAATTATAGGATTGTTTACCTATTGTACATGATACCTAGATAAAACGTATTATGTTACATAACAATGATATACTATTATCGTCGCCAGTTTTAAAGTGTTTAAATGCAAAGTTAATTGACTAATATACAATAAATAATTGATTAAATTTATATACATTGTTCTGCAACGGACATATGATGATTAGCTTACATTATGCATTGTCGGTACTTTTAATATAAAACCACACACATAATAAAAATACTGTTTGTTTTATTTGACAAACAGTGAAGTAATTGTGTATCACTACGTCATCCTGCAATTATGTCCAGTGATTTCGAAATATATTTACTTTTGCTGGTTATTTGTGAAAATTTTATATAACAATGTCTGATACATATACATTTTATACAAAAAACGCTTTTTCTATAAGAAGTTAAGATGAATATCATCTTTCAAAAAAAATTGATTAACACAAACTTTAAAATACAGTGGAGGTTTATATCGTAACATGCAATTTTTCATATGACAAAGGAGTAGGTTCAGTTAGATCCCTTTTTGGCCCCCAAATATAGCAGTTTCATAAAATTGTTAAAGTGTAAACTTTTAGCTATTTAATGGAAAGAAGAATACTTCTGTTGCATAAATATGGGCTGTTTTTGACAATACAATGCACATGTATCGGGTACTAGCATCATTAAGTCATGCTAAATTACTGAAATCTATACAATTTTAGTATTTGAGTTAATTGTTAGACGGTTTTCGTCTTAAATGGAAGTGGCCGAATTTGTGTTCATTCTTAATATTTAAATGTAATTTGTATTTCATGATAATACATAACATATATAAAGGTTGTGGATGAACACGGATGCGGTCATTTTCATTTTTGACAAAAACCATCTGAAAAGTGACATATTATACCATATTTGATAGTTTTTTAATATTTAAGCTTGAATTTGAGCGTCTTTAATGACTAAATCAGCTCAAATCTTTCACATCAATTAATTGAATCTACATAAGTAGACACTTAAGTGTTTGAAAAGTGTCCAAAATCTTATATCAGATGAACCTGAAATTTGAGGCCAAAATCGGCCCTTACTGGACCTCCTCCTTTCATATAAAACTAAGCTTTCTGAAACCTATCGTTGATAAAATAAAAAAAAAGATTTAATATAATTGCCAATGAGACAACTCTCCATCAGAAACCAAAATATATAAAAGTTAATAACAATTCGTCACTGACGGCCTTGTGTCATGTCATGTATGGTTGTTAATATACTTGATACCTTTGCAATTAATTTGATAAAACTCAAGAAATCCCCCCAAAATACACTCTGCGATAACAAAGAGTTAATAAGCATGAAAAAATCTAAATTTATAATTATTCCATAGAACCAATATGGTGAACAGGCAGAAGATTTTATTAAGAAGAAAAAACTGTTGTCTTTAGATGACATAATAGTAGTATATAAAAAGCACAAATTACATGGAAGAGAAAATTATTTAACATGATAATTTCGAACAATTCATATTGCAATATAGTTATTAATTGACGTATTTTCACTATCCACTTGAATACAATTATAATTGTTTTCAGTTGTTTTAATCCCACATAACGTCAAAAATCATGAAGCTAATTACATCAATAATATGTTTGATTGTATGGTTTGGAACTACCGGTAAGTCATATTATATTACAAATAGGTAAACATGTTGTTTTTCTTATCCATTGCTTTAAGTTACAATTCTTTATGTTAATTTGTCAAATCGTCTTCACGTGGTCGACAGGGGTTTACAATATATTCCAAAATGAAAGGCTATTAACTCCATAGAAATGAAACAGAATATTTGTGATTTTTTTACTGTCATTTATTAAATACGCAAATTTCGTTTACAAAATTTTGAATTTTTGAAATACTAAGGCTTTTCTACCTCAGGAATAGATTACCTTAGCTGTATTTGTCAAAACTTTTAGGAATTTTGGTCTTCAATGCTCTTCAACTTCGTACTTTATATGTGTTGTGTTTAACCCAGCTAGAGGTTTCAAAAAAATACATTACCGGAGTTTTTTTCACATTTTGATAATATTGACAGATTGTATATCTTTTACTTTGAATTTTTTTTTTTGAGTTGCAAATTTTTAATGTTTATATTCCATTTCTACTGTTATATAAATATATATGCGTATATATATGCAGATGTAGGAGATACTGTTACATTATCTTGTCCTAAGAAGTCCCAAAATTCTGTAACATGGTACGGCCCTCCATAATATATGCCCTACATAATAGACGGGAAAATAAACCCTGAACTTATCGACAAAACATCGCAATGGTTGGGAATCATAGTAACGGAGAATATAATCTAGAAATCATCAAGGTGTCGTACTCAAACCAAGGGAAATACAGATGTAGACTATTAAACAACAATGGACCAGTAGAATATGAGATATCCCTAATTGTAGAAGGTACATAAAGGCAACAGTAGTATACCGGTGTATAAAAGTTATAAATAGAATATGACGATAACGACCTTATAATAGTAAATTCAGTATATCTTAGCGCAGTTTAGATACCTTATAATAGTAAATTCAGAATATTTTAGCGCAGTTTAGATACCTTATAATAGTAAATTCAGAATATCTTAGCGCAGTTAGATACCTTATAATAGTAAATTCAGTACATCTTAGCGCAGTTTAGATACCTTATAATAGTAAATTCAGTATATCTTAGCGCAGTTTAGCTACTTATTCTAATTTATTTTTCGACGTGATATACATATTATTTTTTTCTTGACATTGAAACCTACGTCTTTTTCCCTATGAAATATAAAATGGAACGTGTTATAGATAAGATACCATAGTTTAATTAGGTGCAGATGTTGATGGCTTAAGAATGAATATTTACACAATGTATTATTTATTTCAGTCGTGCCACTGTCAAGTGTACAGTCGTGCATGTCTTCCGTTTTGATAAAATTCAATTTACAATAAAACAAAATTATTAAATAAACAATTACAGGCTTTCCCGTTACAATCGATTTAATTATTCGGATGTTTTGTTATTTAGTTTGATAGAGGTATCGACATATATTGTTTTTGCCATTGTACGAATTTAACACCAAACAAAAGTACATAAAACCTAATTTTATCAAGAATATATATAATTCCTCATTTCGTGAAAGCAAAATTATCGCAATTATACAAAAATTCAAATTAATGCCACCTTATGTAATAATGCTGTATTTTTATTGGATGAGAGAAATGGTATTTATTCCCACTTTCTATGTATTCCATTAGGGAATTCCATGTGCCGGGGTATTTGCTAGCAAAACCCAATGAATGATTTCTATTCTAGTAGAAAAATGTTATGATTATTCTTTATATATAAACTGCAACAACTGTTCCTAATGTAATATTTAGAATAAAAACCATCATTATTCAATTTGAAGCGACTTACGTGATAAATCCTCGAACCTGTACTTTTAATAACGTCATAAATAAAACTCAACGGAACGTCATAAATAAGGAGATTTACGGTGAGCTGTGACTGTACATCAGAAATGATTATACAGCTTATACCATTGACTGCACGAATAAAACGGTTGCGATATATACAAAACATATATATTCAATCAGAAACTCCATACAATACCTGATTACAATAAAGTTTCTGAGGTCAATATGGATTCATTGAACATTTGGTGGAATTAAACAATTATATGATGATTTCAAGGGGTATTTGCTAAAAAATACCGGTATGTTTGGGAAATACCCCTTGTAAGCATGATATATTTGTATAATCTTTTTCTTCATTTTATAGTTTTAATAATCAAACTATTAGATAATGCACCGTTCAATCGATACGGTTCATTAGACGACGTTGTCAACACGTAATGGCGGCCATTGTTTGACGTTGGATTTGGCATTTCATGCTGTAAAGATGCATTTATGACATTCTTGGATGCTAAAACTTAATGCCACACAACATAAAAGGTAAAGGATTATTTCAGTTATACCGAGTTAATTATTTTCAAATAAGTGGAATCCCAAAAAATGATTTAAACGGCAAAAATAAAGTGTAAAATTATATGAAACATGAAAATTGAAATCCCATTTTTCATCATTTCCTTTTCATATATTGAATACACTATTTACACCAACCACTAGTGAATTATATTCGGATTTCGGTCTTAGGTATCCGTCCTTGTCTCCGGGAATATTATACCCACACAAGTTGTCAACATCCGTTTTCAAACTGTTCAAAGTGTTCTTCACAATCTCCCTGGAAAATATTCACGCTATCACTTCGTGCTCAGATAATAGAACATTGTAAACCTCTAACAGCAAATGCGGACCAAAATTAATCAAATTTGAAAGCACGGATGATCACGTGTAATGCCGACTGTAAGTTCTCTAAAAAGGGGGTAATTTCTCCCCCAAATACACATGAATTTTGCTGACCGTCTCAAATTCAACTCAAAAGTCCATTATCAAATCAGAGGCGTCCCATTTCATATACACCAAAATTTAATATTTAAAAAAACTTTCATTACTATATTAACATATAATACAAATGGAAATCAATCACAAGCACTTGTTTCTGTCAATGGGGTGTTCACTATCCATACTCGTAATTTTTATTTTTATGTGGGTGGGTGGGTAGAAGGAATTTAAGGGGACATTATATTCATCTTCTTATTTTACTATTATGGCTTATTAATTTTTTTCAATCTGTACACAATTGTTCTTTCCTTTTTATTGGACAGAATATTCATGTTCATCCTGTGTCAGCACTCTTGTCAGAGCAATGTTTATTTTATGTTCGGTTATCACCATGATTACATAGACATGTACCAGATCTTTCCCATAAAAAAATTAATTAAGATAGCCATCCTCTAAATCATAACTCTAAAATTATAAAAGAAATTTACACATTGAAATTAACCAATCACCCACCCATTTGAAAAGCTTGTACACATGCTGCTTTGCATTACATGAATCCCCAGAAACTAATTAATTTACAATTTCTTTATACATGTTATATCTGACATGTTATATTCTTCCAATGATTATATAAACAATCTACTTAGAAATGATAATCCATTAACAATATTCCAGGATTTAAATTAAAATAAAACTGGGTTTTGAGTGCCCCCAAAATGTATAAAATTTCAGCTTGCATTGTACAATAGACATGTTATGATGTTTATGCAAACTATTAAATATAAAAATGTTATCAAAAGGTTTGGTATAACATAAATTTGCTCCTTGTTAAACCTAAAAATTATTTTTCAAGACTTTTGAAATGTTTTCTTTGTCTGAAACTTTTATGTACATGTATTGAGCAAAAATGCTGGGGACATAATTTATCTATAATACTTAAATAAATACATGTATTTTCTTGGTAATTTATTTGGCAAATTTGTATTCATGTGTTGATAATAACAATGCAAAGTTTAATTTTGCTTTGAATAATTTGGTAAATAAACATTAATAGTAATTGTATGTAAATTTGCTTTATATTTACAGGATGGAGAAAGATGTTCACTATGGATCAAAAATTCAAAACAGAGGACTTTTTTATTCAAACAAAAATACTTGTACATGTATGATATTCTGTACATACAACAAGAAAACAGTAATCAAACGGAATGTCCAGTGATGTTGAAAGCAAAATTATTTTTGTTAACAGAAAACAATAGGACTACAATATATTAAGGGTAAGTTATCCAAAATTGTCTGTTTAGGGTTACAAAAGTAGGTTATTGACAATGTGCTATGATTTCAATCCCCCAAATATGAAACAAAAACATAATATACATGGTATTTAAACTGTTTTCATAAGGAAACAGACTGAAAATATTCTGCATTTAACAGTTAGACATGAAAGTTGCCAATGTAATAAATTGGGATTGGAACTTAAAATTTATAGGATATAGGCCAAGGAATCATTCGGACTTTAAGGCCAAATGGTATACTTTTAATAGTTTAAAGATTTTATTCTATTATCTATGCTGTGTAAATGTCAATATCGTTTCATTTGGATTTAAAACCTAATTTCAAGAATGAATGGTACAGTAATTTAAAATGAATTTAAATGATTAAAAACAATACAAGGGAAGTAACTCTTACAAGATGTGCATTATATCCTAATGAAGTGTTTTAATGTATTTGTCCATATTTTCAGATAAGAGAATGACTTAAGCAGACTGTATTGGGGTCATAGATGGCTATAACAATGAAATACAATATATTATAATTATCATTCTTCATTACGTCTTGATTGAATTAACAAACTTTAATTTAATAACAAAATATTTTCTTTTTTCAGTACACAACACATCGTGTCAGAAGAATAATTTTACTGGAGAAAAAAAAATTTAATACCTGGAATCAGCAATTTACAAAATGTATACAAAATTTATTAAGAGAGATATATTCATGTACAGAATGGTAACCCCACCAAATAACTCAGGTGGTTCAAGTGATTATTAGCAGACATTTTTGTTGAACTAATGCAGGATTAAACAAATGAAGCTTTAGCAGACTATGGGCTCCAAAGTGTAGTAAAAAGAGGATTTTTAAATATGACAGACTCATAAACATTAAAATGTGCATAAGTGAAATGTTACAATATTTAGAAAAAATTCAGATTATTGACTCAGTTGTTTTCATGAAATTTTTTATCAAAGCAATATCACTGTTATATAATAAATAAGATTCCATATGTTTTATTTTACCGGTATACTTTTGACAACCGAATATATCTTCCCTCAGCTCTGGCCTCAAGTGTTTCCCTTTTATTTTGTATGAGTGTAATTTACAGAAAGCTCATTTTGCTTTTGGCGAATTCAAGTTTTGCCTTTCCAGAATTATTGGACTTTATTAATGGAAAATTAGACATTTGCCCATATGTTGTAGAAGAAATCAATTTTGCTTTAATACTTTTTCAAGAAATTGTATCATAAGGCTAGATTTGATCAAATAATCTCACTTTTGAATATTTATCACATATCACATACTTAAATAATCTAGTATGCTTAGATTGATTTCCTTCACTTTTGTCCTGTTGTTGAGATTGAGTGAAATAATTTAATTATTTTATTCCTATCAATTTGGGGTTGCGTGGGGATCTGTGTCCCATTGGGAATGGCATTTAACACTGCATAACTATATCCTATCACAAGTTATGATACAGCCAACCATATAACATACTATGTTACATAGTCCCTGCCACTGAAAGGAGAAAAGAGGTGCACAACATACAAAATAAACTGCTTCACTGAGCGCAGCTAGATACGCCCGCAGAGGTCCAACCCTGAACAGTTGGGGCAAAAATGGACACAATATTCAAGCTTGATTCAGGTCTGAATTTGGATTGTAATTAAATATGTGACATATTATAGGTTTCTGAATAAATGTAGTCAAAGAACTTGAAATTGGTTATATGAATTGAATTTATATTCAATTAAAGATTTCTTGCTGTTGTGCAATAGTCCCCAATACTTAGTAAATCTGTTGTCAGACTATAAACAAATAAAGTTCAATTAATTCTCAATGTCATATTAGAAATTTATGGAAATAAAAAGGGAGCTTACATCAATAGATATAAACAATTCACCAAAGTTTCATGAGAATTGGTGACAGCATTTTTGAGTTATTGTCCGAAAACTGGAAAATCACCCCTTTTTTTAATGAATAAAACCCCATAACTCAGAAATGTAAAATGTAAAATTTATAAAATTCTAAAGGGAGCTTACATCAATACATACAAACAATTCACCAAAGTTTCATACGAAATTGCTGAAAGAATTTTTTAGTTTTTGTCCGAAAACTGGAAAATCCCCCCTGTAACTCAGAAACGTAAAATCTAAAATTTATAAAAATCCAAAAGGGAGCTCATGTCAATAGATATAAACAATTCACCACAATTTCTTGCAAGTTGGTGAAAGCATTCTTGACTTATTGTCCGAAAACTGGAAAATCCCCCTTTTTTTAATGAATAAAACCCCATAACTCGGAAACGTAAAATCTAAATTTTATAAAAAACGAAAGGGAGCTCACGTCAATAGATATAAACAATTCACCAAAGTTTTATGCAAATTGGTTAAAGCATTTTTGAGTTAATGTCTGACATGTTGACGACGGACAGATGGACGGACAGACGGACGGACAGACGGACAACGGTATACCATAATACGTCCCGTAAACGGGCGTATAAAAATATTTCATATGACTAGCTTCATTGTATCCTTTGAATATTTCATTGATTTTTGTCGAGCCTGCGACTTTTGTCGCAGAAAGCACGACATAGGGATAGTGATCCGGTTGCGGCGGCGTAAGCTAACTTCTTAAAAGCTTTATATTTTAGAAGCTAGAAGACCTGGATGCTTCATACTTTGTATATAGATGCCTCATGTTACGAAGTTTCCGTCTGTCATATGTCCATTGTCCTTGACCTCATTTTCATGGTTCAGTGACTACTTGAAAAAAAAGTCAACATTTTTTTGTAATGTTAATTTCTTTCTTATTATGAGTAATAGGATATCTATATTTAGTATGTGCGTACCTTGCAAGGTCCTCATGCCCGTCAGACCTCGACCTCATTTCATGGATCAGTGAACAAGGTTAAGTTTTCGTGGTCAAGTCCATATATCAGATACTATAAGCAGTAGGTCTACTATATTTGGTATATGGAATGATTGTAAGGTGTACATGTCCAACTGGTAGATGTCATCTGACCTTGTCCTCATTTTCATGGTTCAGTGGTCAAAGTTAAGTTTTTTGTGTTTTGGTCTTGTTTTCTAATCCTATATGCAATAGGTCAACTATATTTGGTGTATGGAAATATTTTATGATTTACATGTCAGTCTTGCAGGTTTTATTTGACCTTGACCTCATTTTCACGGTTCATTTCTCAGTGTCAAGTTTTTATACGACCGCAAAAAAATTTTGCGATCTTATATTGGTATGACGTTGGCGTCGTCGTCGTTCGAAGACACATTGGTTTTCGCACTCTAACTTTAGTTTAAGTGAATGGATCTCTATGAAATTTTACCATAAGGTTCAATACCACAAAAGGAAGGTCTGGATTGATTTTGGGGGTTATGGTACCAACAGTAAAGGAATTAGGGGCCAAAAATAAGCATTTTTGTAACTTCCAGACATAACTTGTGTGTTAGTGTATGGGTCTCTCTGACATTGTACCACAAGGTTCCATATCACAAAGGGAATGTTGGCATTGTTTTTTGGGGTAATTGCCTCAAAATTTTAGGAATTAGGGGCCATAAAAGGGGCAAAAAACAAGCATTTTTATATAGACAAATACTTTAGTACAAAACATAATTTAAAGCAGTGTAAGGGAGATAAATCAAATACATCATTTGAATTACCTCCCTTACACTGCTTTTAAATTATATAAAGTAATGGTTAATGAACAATTAAGACAATTTAAAACAGTGTAAGGGAGGTAATCCACATACAACATTTTGATTACTTCCCTTACACTGCTTTTAAATAATGTTTAAAGAAATGCATATTTATAAAGGAAGACAAGTAAAAATATCTGCAAATGTTGCATCTTTTTCTTTTTTACCAAAAAAATCCATATGAAAGATTTGACACCATATTTTAAATTCTATTATAAAATAGATTAAGTTAGCACTATGGTAAATTTAAATGGGTAATTATGGTTGCAAATTCCATTGGAAATTTGAATTGAGATTATGACCATATCTTGAGGGAAAGAATTTCAGAAATTAAAAAAAATTATTCTTCAAATATTATTTTTTTTTCAAATTTCAAATATTGAAAAATTTCAAGAAGTAATCTTTAATAACACAGTATGGCGCATTAGATTTGTAAAATCTTTGACCATATTTATTTGTAATGCCAAATCTGACTGTGTATTAAGATTTTTAATTTTGGGTCCAGTTTTCAAATTGGTCTACATTAAGGTCCAAAGGGTCCAAAATTAAACTTAGTTTGATTTTAACAAAAATTGAATATATGGGGTTCTTTGATATGCTGAATCTAAACATGTAGTTATATTTTTGATTTCGGGCCCAGTTTTCAAGTTGGTCCAAATTGGGGTCCAAAATTAAACTTTGTTTGATTTCAACAAAAATTGAATATATGGGGTTCTTTGATATGCTGAATCTAACCATGTGTTTAGATTTTTTATTTGTGGGCCCCGCTATCAAATTGGTTCATATCGAGGTCAAAAGGGTCCAAAATTAAAATTTGTTTTATTTCATCAAAAATTGAATCATTGGGGTTCTTTGATATGCCAAATCTAACCATGTATTTAGATTTTTAATTTTGGGTCCCGTTTTTTAAATTGGTCTACATTAAGGTCCAAAGGGTCCAACATTAAACTTAGTTTGATTTTAACAAAAATTGAATTCTTGGGGTTCTTTGATATGCTGAATTTAAACATGTGTTTAAATTTTTGATTATGGGCCCAGTTTTCATGTTGGTCCAAGTTGGGGTCCAAAATTAAACTTTGTTTGATTTCAACAAAAAATGAATATATGGGGTTCTTTGATATGCTGAATCTAACCATGTATTTTGATTTTTGGGCCCCGTTATCAAATTGGTCCACATTGAGGTCAAAAGGGTCCAAAATTAAACTTTGTTTGATTTCATCAAAAATTGAATTCTTTGGATTCTTTGATGTACTGAATCTAACCATGTATTTAGATTTTGAATATTGGACCATATTACAAGTAAATTAAAAAATGTTAAGTTCTTAGACCACATTCATTCTGTATCAGAAACCTATGCTGTGTCAAATATTTAATCACAATCCAAATTCAGAGCTGTATCAAACTTGAATGTTGTGTCCATTCTTGCCCCAACTGTTCAGGGTTCGAACTCTGCGGTCGTATCAAGCTGCGCCCAGCGGAGCATTTTATTGTGTTTTGGTCTGTTTTTCTTCAACTATAAGGAATATATCAACTATATTTGTTGTATGGAAGGATTGTAAGGTGTATATGTCTGTCTGACAGGTATCATCTGACTTTGACCTCATTTTCATGGTTCATTGGTCAATGTTAAGTTTTCATGGTTAAGTTTGTTTCTTAGACACTATAAGGAATAGGTCAACTATATTTAATGCATAAATTGATTGTAAGGTGTACATGTCTGTCTGGCATGGTTCATCTGATCTTGACCTCATTTTCATGGTTCATTGGTCAATGTTAAGTTTTCTTGGTTAAGACTGTTTCTTAGAAACTATAAGCAATAGGTCAACTATGTTTGGTTTATTGAATGATTGTAAGGTGTACATGTATTTCTCATTTGGTTGATCTGACCTTGACCTCATTTTCTTGGATCTTGTTAAGTTTATGTGTTACTTGTAGTAAAGCTTTATATTTAGGACTATCAACATAAAATCAATGGTTAGAAAAGAAGGTGAGACATTTCAGCGTGTGCACTCTTGTTTTTCAGTAGTTATTTATTAAAGGTACTACAGTTCCCTTTCAGTTTGCCTGCTTACGACTTGATTACAGTTCCAATATAAAAATAAGAAGTTGGGGTATGATTGCCAATGAGACAAATCTCCACCAGATACCTTATGACGAAAAGGTTAATAAATATATGTATAGGTCTCTGACAGCCTTCATCAATGAGCAGAACCAATAACGCATAGTAAGCTACATGTATAAAAGGTCCCTAAATAACATGACACAATAGAGGCTGAAAATGAATACTCTGCATCAGTGA